AGTTATCAAAGCTTGTTTGGGATGCTTACCGGTTTGCTCTATCTTATAAGTCAATAATAGAGCAAGCTCCACTTCAAGCATACATATCAGCGCTTGTATTTGCTCCAAGGGGTAGCTTGATAAAGAGGAATTTCAGGGCAGAAGAACCTGAATGGATTCGAACTAAGCCGGCTGTAGAATTGGGTTGGAATGCATGCCTCCAAACCCTAGAAGGCCATAGCGGCTCCGTTTACTCAGTGGCCTTCTCGCCTGATGGCCAGCGGCTTGCGTCCGGTTCAGCGGACCAAATGATCAAGATCTGGGATCCGGCGTTGGGGAGCTGCCTCGAGACCCTAAAAGGCCATAGCGGTTCGGTTTGGTCAGTGGCATTTTCGCCTAATGGCCAGCGGCTCGCATCCGGTTTGGAGGATCACACTATCAAGATCTGGGATCCGGTGTCGGGGAGCTGCCTCCAGACTCTAAAAGGCCATAGCCGGGACGTTGACTCAGTGGCATTCTCGCCTGATGGCCAGCGGCTTGCGTCCGGTTCGTGGGACCAAACGATCAAGATCTGGGATCCAGCGTCGGGGAGCTGCCTCCAGACCCTAGAAGGCCATAGCGGAGACGTTGACTCAGTGGCATTCTTGCCTGATGGCCAGCGGCTTGCGTCCGGTTCGGCGGACCAAACGATCAAGATCTGGGATCCAGCGTCGGGGAGCTGCCTCGAGGCCCTAGAAGGCCATAGCCGTTCGGTTCGCTCAGTAGCATTTTCGCCCGATGGCCAACGACTCGCATCCGGTGCGGAGGATCACACTATCAAGATCTGGGATGCGGCGTCGGGGAGCTGTCTCCAAACCTTGGAAGGCCATAGCGATGGGGTTCTCTCAGTGGCATTTTCGTCCGATGGCCAGCGGCTCGCATCCTGTGCGCGGGATCACACTATCAAGATCTGGGATGCGGCGTCGGGGAGCTACATCCAAACCTTAAAAGGCCATAGTGGTTCAGTTCGCTCAGTAGCATTTTCGCCCGATGGCCAGCGGCTCGCATCCGGTGCGTGGGATCATACTATCAAGATCTGGGATGCGGCGTCGGGGAGCTGCATCCAAACCTTAAAAGGCCATAGGAGTTGGGTTTTCTCAGTAGCATTTTCGCCCGATGGCCAGCGGCTCGCATCCGGTGCACGGGATCACACTATCAAGATCTGGGATGCGGCGTCGGGGAGCTGTCTCCAAACCTTTGAAGGCCATAGCGATTGGGTTCTCTCATTAGCATTTTCGTCCGATGGCTAGCGGCTCGTATCCGGTGCGCTGGATCACACTATCAAGATCTGGGATCCAGTGTTGGGGAGCTGCCTCGAGACCCTAAAAGGCCATAGCTACTCCGTTCGCTCACTGGCATTCTCGCATGATGGCCAACGGCTTGCGTCTGGTTCGGCGGATAAGACGATCAAGATCTGGGATCCAGTGTCGGGGAGCTGCCTCCAAACGATTATTACTAGTACTATGATGACCGATATATCATTTGGCCATACTAATCGCTACCTACGTACCAACGTTGGACGTATTAATATAGGTACAGAAACTACCGAAAGCCAAGTTGTACTAGATAATCCAGAGAGCTATGGCTATAGCTTGGGACAGGATGAGTCTTGGATTACTTGCAATGGCCAGAACGTACTCTGGCTGCCACCGAACTACCGACCGTTCGATTCTGACTTCCAGGAACGGATGATATCCATTGGCAGCGTATCGGGACGGGTTTGGTCTATTGGTTTCTTGCGAGACATATAATGTATTCTAAGTCTCTCCCAACTACTTTCCCTCTATTTCATTTTTCTAGCGTGCTACCAGGAGGGTATAGGAGGATAAGCGAATTTATAAGAATCTTACAAATTCTAGCATCTTCTACTGATATTGAGATAACGTTCTATTACGAGGAGGCAACACTATTCCATCCCTTCATCCTTCTTTCGCGGGTGCCTGTGTGGATCAGATACTATAGGATTAGCCCGTGACTGCCTAGTCATGGCCAAGGTTGGTACTATGGTACTGAGGCCTCTATTGTTGTTAACGAACTTTAAGCGAATAACACGAGCCAACCAAGCCACCGGCGAGCTGGCGGCTCACGGTGGAAGGCTGGGCAGTACAACCATTACAAGGTCCGACACTAGGATCAGACAAGGAGGGCTCACGGTGAGCCAGTAGCTCACGACCGTGAGCCATCGCCAGTAAGCCAGTCTACATGAACGGACAAGGCACGTATAAGAACCCCGAGAATCCTCGACACTAGATAGTTCTGCAGTAGTCAACAGATCATCATCACTGAGACAAGTATAACGCTACCCTACTTGTTGTGAACCTTTTGTCTTCACCGAACGTCTTCTGATAGTATCAACCTTCAGCTATCCCATTTAGGCAGATCAGACTACCGTTTGTCACAATTGCCCTCGATTAGATAAGTAATCACTTCCTTAGTAGTCCTTGGGAGAGCCAATACACCTATAGTAGCGTCGTCATTTTCGCTACTACTGTACGCATTATTCCAAAGCCTTTTCGGATGCATGAACACTTGTGATCTATTACGCGGTGGAGTCGGCTACAGGCCTAGGTTCTTAGGTTCTAGTCGGACTCGCCTGCCTAAATATCTTGGGTTCTTACGCTTTGTAGTGTTAGCGGAGACGTTTTAATTACGAGAAGGACGGCCCCCAATCCATTGTCCTGCGAGCGTAGCTGAGGGATGTTGCAGTAAGGGCAAAGGGAATAATGGTTGTGTATTTCTAATCGTCGGCCTGGATTTTGTATCGGCTGTCGATGCGCTGAAGTTGAAAGATGCAGCTTCACCCAGGTGTGCGACGGTGCTAGATAGGCACAACGGGTACAAACGTCCACTCCAACCTTCAATGTACTAGTCCACGGGGCGGTTAATGGAGGTGCTGGGCCGCGTTTACGCTATGGGCAGCACGTGAGACACACTGGCTATAGGCCTCGTTTTGCCCTCGGATTATTGGTTTGGTGGATGGAATAGAGACACTGGGCGCCACAGGGCGTGTCAGGGCACTGCTCTTATCTTTGTACACTAGATTCACCGCTGTGGCACGTCTCATGCCCTACGGGAGGCGGAAGTAGACGTTAAAAATAACAACAACAACAACAACAACAACAACAACAACAAAACCTTCAATGTACTAGCTGTGTGTTACGAACTTAAGCGACAGCGTCGCAAAAGATGGTCGAGTGTAACCATAGACGGGGATTGGCCGGAAGGGCGCTCACTGAAGGAGAGTGCTCACAGTGAGCAGGAAGACATCGTGAGCCAGTACACAATAACAGGGAATCGGACAAGACGGCCAGAGTATAAAGGGACGACTGGAAGAACTCAGATTGTCAGATAGTTCTGCAGTAGTCAATTGATCATTATCACCGAGACTAGTATAACGCTACCATACGTGTTGTGAACCTTTTGGCTTCACCGAACGTCTTCTGATAGTGTTTACCTTTAGCTATCCCACTTAGGCAGATCAGACTGCCGTTCGTCACATATATTCGGTGGACTTTAGCGTGCGTAATAGGATAGAAACACTTCTGCAAACGCTTCTATGGAAGGTTAGTTTTTGACTTTGGCCACAGCGTGGCACTTACAGAAAAGTGCCCAGCCGCTAGCCTCTGTTTCCCTACTTTTTGTAGGATTGACGTACTTATCCTAACATTTCATTCCCCGGCAGAGGTGTAGCTGAGCCATCAAAGCTCCTGTAACAATTGTGCTCTTTCTAATAGCTTTCTATATCGCCTGACTAGTAGTTGGGACCGTGACGACCAGCGAATCCCAGGTGCTGTATGTTCTTTTTTGCGATCTTTGGCGTTTTCAGTCGTGGATTCCACTTCGGTGCGCGCTTATCTTATCACTTATCTTATCGAGATAAGTCCTATATCGTTATCGTCCTTCTTATCGATCTTATCGGCCTTATCAGTTGCTGGCAATAACTTTCCCCCAACAAAACGCCCAAAACACATCACCTATCACGGGCGAAGGGTAGAGTGTAGATGTAGATATGCGTAATTGCACCAAGAAGAAAGGGAACAGTCGCAGCTGTGCGCAGAGGACTGGCCTTAAGTAGGGTCCCAGCCGCGTGGGGCTGGGAGGATTTGGCCAATCAGGCTGCAGCAGTCTCAGAAGCGGCTGTAGCCTGCACAAGCATACGACTAACCCTGTGACACCACCGTCACTCGTGTTCTAAGGATTGATGAATGAAGATGAACGCTCTTTCATGGTATGTGGACGCGTCTTTACTGATCAAAATTTCTTATGTCAGTTTTGGTAAGACTATGATGGGTATCTGGTCATATTTTCTTGTGCAGTGACAGACAACTGTCCGAAGGCATCACGGTTGCCCATCCATTTGCTTTGTCCTTGAACGGTAACACCAAAATCCATGTCCGAGATGAATGATCCGAGAAGTCTACCAACAGTACCTCTCGGGGAATTACCTATCGTACAAGGTGCCAAGCTCCATATCGACTGCCGTCGCTTCGGTGAACCCATGGACACAAGACAACACCATGCCCCACAGATTCCAGAGGCCGTTGTGTAAGTGTTGGACTTGGACGACGGAAATGTGGCTTGATTCTGTAGTAGTAACGAAGGAGAAAAGGAAACAGAAAACCAGGGCAGCCTAAATACCCAGGACGGAAGTGCTAGTGAACTGACTGCCGCTGGAAGCACAGTGAATGGGGACGCAGACACTCCTCAACGACGAATCCAGGACGAAATCAGAACAGATCACTACTTGGTTCCCAATCGATTTACTACCTGTTATGGGTGATGGTGCCCGGATTGAGGGAGATAGTTGAGGTGTTGAAGGGTTCCACGCATTGCTGTTACAGCGTCCACTGCCCACTGCTCAACCGACACTCGATTCCAATGATATTACAAAAAGCCCTTTCGGTATTACTGTTTGGATGCTGTTAGAGGCGAGGGGCGTAAATTGGTGTTCATAAGGCATTTGGGCATAAAAACGAGAATGACTAGATTTATAGGAAACTTGCAACCACAAATATACGTAAAGACCAAAGTACATCGGATTGTAGACTCCCCCTTCCCCCCTCTTTCGACTAGACTTGCGCAAGGAATACAAAGTTGCTTTGAGACATCCACTCTTTGGAAGTCGTCAGACATTCTCCCCAACAGTTCTTCCCTCCGGAGACTGCTACTCAGTAGCGCCGTACTCGCGAAGAAGCCATTCTATATCCTTATGACCTCTTGAAATGGCCACCTGCAATGCGGTACCGTATCTTCCGCCTTGCGCCTTAACATTGGCGCCATGATCGAGAAGCAACGTTGTAACATTTCTCAGGTTTCTAGACCCGTCTCTGAAAGAGTGGTAGTATGGAGAAGCCAGAGCAGCCTGTAACGCGGTACCGTACTTCCCTCCTATTGCATTGACATCAGCCCCGTGCTCGAGAAGAATTCTAACACTCTCTACCTTTCCATAGCTTATAGCATCATGTAGTGGGTTAGAGCCTTCGTGCCTGTAATTGGGATTGGCGCCGTATCTGATAAGAAACCTCACCATCTCGGACATCTCCTTGGGGCCATTGGATACAGCCGCATGTAAGGCAAGGCCGTAATTCCAGCCCTGTGGGCTAATGTCGGTGCCATGCTCGAGAAGAATTCTCGCGACTCTGTTGTGTTGATGAGCAAGGGAAGTGCACAACAGGTCGTAGCCAATTATACATTTTGCAAATGATTCTTTCCCATTGCAAAAGCATGTATGAAACCACGAGAGTCGCTCAACACCAGGGTCTTCTTTTATCCCCTTCATAAATCCTGTCTGTGAGACATTTCCCGCCTCTGCTGCCTCAGCATGATCGAGCCAATGCAAAGATGCGTACTTCAAAAAGGGGTATTTGAGATGAAACTCATCCCTCTTGCTCGAGTCACCATCCATCGAGATGTCATCCAGAATCGAAGCATTGGTTTCGATGAAAGACAAACAGCAAGTTTTCAACCGATCATGGGATTGACCGATGGGATTCAACCCAAGCGTTGGGTCCAGACTCTGAAGTCGCTGATTTCGTAGGAGGAAATCTTTGACAGATTCGTGGATAAATTGAACCGTACTCTCGGCTTTAGGAACCTCGATGAGCCCTTTCGACGAGTAGGTTATGCACCGCTGGATGTCGTCAGCTGTCAGCTGTGACTGATCCCAAGGTCCTAGGTTTGTGACACCGGTGCCGGCCAGCGTGGCATAGTACAGCTCTTCCGGCTCTAGGGGTCGTACTGCAAACAAAACCCACTGCAGCATTAAGATCGTCTCCTGCTTATCCGGATTTTCCTTGCTCAGGATCGTCGAAAACAGCTCGTCAAGGTCACTGGGGACCTCGCGCAACTTCTGCTCCATCGCTCCCACCTTGCCATTGGCATATGCCTTTTTCAACATGGCGACGACGAGCACGACCCACATAAAGATACCGGATGCCTTGTTGAGTACCCCCTCCTCAATGCGTGCGATGCGTGAATCCGCCATAGCCAGCTTATCATGGACGTACATAGCAATGTCGGTGTTATGCCCAGCCTTTTTTTCCACAACCAGTTCTTGAAATACCCCCATGCTGATGATGTGTGGATAATGGCGGCTCGATAAGCAAATGCTGACATTCACTTCACGATGAATGTAGGTGATACTCAAAGCTTTGAGGAAGTCTACCACATTCTGAACCTGTAAGTCGCTGCATTCATCCAATGCATCAACAAGGAGGACGAGTGGCTTCCCCTGGTAAATCTGCATCTCAGAGAGAAGAAATTCCTTTAACTCTGCCTCTCCCCACTCCCACTTATTGTGCATTTGTTTCTTTCTTCGGAAGACAGGAAGAAAATGCTGGTAAGTTGACTCTTCCTCTACGAGGAGCTGGCACAACAGAGAACGAATCATGCCAAGAGCTGTCTTCTCCAATAATGAGAAGCTGCGAGCGTTGAAGAAGTAGGTAGCAATGGTATGGCCAGTGTCTTGGAAGTGTCTCCATATATGCTTCATCAGCGTCGATTTTCCTGTCCCTGGATGACCTTTGATCCAAAGCACACCATTGTGCCCCGGTAACATCGTTCGGTCGCACCATTGCAGAAATTCAGTGGTCTTAAAAATCCAATCGCCGGTGTTGGGATGAACTTGGTCGATATTCTGCCGCCGTGTGTCGATGTCGGTGAAGCTGAGGGATTGTAGACATTCTGTCCCGGTCAGTCTTGATGAAAGACGTGGTGAGGAATCAATGTACTGACCTTGCTTCTCACGTTTGAGACGCTCACGTTCTTGATCAGTCCCAGAGCAAGGAGCTGTTGGATGTTAACACAAGCCTATACCGTCACCACCCGTAATGGAAACCTACGTCCATAGTAGTTGTTGTATTGAGACCCGGCGGCGTTGTTGTTATACTGAGCCCCCGGGCCGGTATTGGCATTGGAAAAACCCGAACCAGAATTGTAGACAGACCAGGACCTTTTCATGTTGCAGGATTGGGCTTCGGGATGTGCATAATACTTGCTTACCAGATCAAGCGTGTGGAATTCAAGGAGTTGATCGTCTTGCAATGTTCAGGGAGAAAGCGAGGGGTTGACAGAACGGAACGAGAAGATGAATATTGTTTTCATCCAATAGACAGGCCCGTTGCCTTTGGCTCCGCCGCCTAGAGCTGCAGAGCCCAACCTCACGCAATGAACGCCTAATTTTAGACAAGTCTCGAGTGATTGGTAAGGTGGCAACCGGGTCGGGGGTTTGCTGAGTGCTACGCCACAAGTTGGGGAGCTGAACAATGCGGGCCGCTGTGTTGTCACTTGTGCGATCTCTGCTTTCAACCTTCTGGACCCACTTCCCGATTCTTGCTGTATTTCGTACTCGTCAGAGTAGCTGATGCCACCCACTTGCCAAAGTCTCCGTGCTGTGACACCCATCATTTATTTCCTCACACGCGCACTGGATATAATGCGGTGGAAGTTGTTCTTCGCAACGCCCGTTTGCCTCCAAATGGTTCACTCGTAGCTGTAGCTACTTCGATGCGCCCAGCAGGGAACCAGGCGCATCCGTCAAAGAGCTCTTCTACACTCAGCAGCAGCAGCGGCCTGGTGGCTTGTACCAATCATGGGGGTGTCATGGCCCAATCCTGTAGGGTAGATAAGGATGCTGGCTTCGGATCCTTAGAGCTGTGGTTGGCTTGTTGCTCTCAACGCCGCCGTCACCCTGTTTCGCAGCCCTGGCATGCAGCTCTCTCCGCCAATCGACTCGTCTACAAAGATGTTGGCGGCTGCGCCGGCAGTGTGTTGCAAGCCAACCACCATGGTTATGACATTTACCTCTGTAGAAAATCTAGCCGCAGTGTCAGGACGGTCAACTTTTCTCGTAATCCGCCCAATTATATTCATCTTTTTAGCGCCGCCTCCCCACTTACCGTCTTGCCTCCGTCCGAACGATATGGATATGGGAGCTGGTGGTTCAGTTTTTTGACCCTACCACGTGATTAAAAGACCCGTTTCCTGTCCTTCCCGCTCCCATAGATAAGCAGACATATCGTCTGCCCAGTAGTTTGTCTCATCTACCCAGTGACATGAGCACATGTTGAGTGCCCAATTGGCCAGCCCGGTGTTGTGAAGAGTCGCACCTCTCTGAAGGAGGTATTCAGCCGCTTCGAGGTTGTTTGTTAAGGCGGCGAAGTGAAGTGGCGAACCATTTGCGTCGGATAGTCGCTAGCGCCGTGAAAGGTGATTTCAAGCAGAAGGCGCTTTCCTAGCTTCTTAATGAGGACCTCATGATTGGCCGATATGAACTTTCAGCTCAGCTGCCGTGCAGAGTGCCCCTTACAGACATTGGTGCCCAAGCAGGTGAGGCCTCAAAGTAATGATATTTGCTGTCCTTCTCGCCCTCTCGCTTTCTCGCTTTTTCGCTTTTTCTCCTTCTCTCCTTCTCTCCCTTTCTCTCCTCGTTTCTACTTCTGGTCGTTATTGCTCCGTCTTTCTGTTGTCCCCAATATTCGGGACCCGAAACCTCGCCCAACCTTTCCCGCACGTGCACATCACAAAACCCAACGAACAACGAACAGTCGCAATCACCGTTGGTTTGAGTCCGACACCTCAAGGTCCAATGGCACCGACGCTCTACTACACGAGAGATACTCCAGCCTTCGCCGGTTTCAAGCCAGAGCCTGCTGGACGAGGGACAAAGGGAATCATCTGGACCTGCCTCAGTACCATTCTGCTTTCATCCTGGAGCTCATTCCACGGCCCGGCCTACGATCCAAACGAGTCTTTCAAAAGCGAGGCCCGAGACTCATACATCGTGAGGTTTGGGGCTGCATTTCTCTTACCTGAGCTGGTAGCAGTTAGAAGCCTCAGGACTCTTTATAATGCCTTGCAACTTCGGAAAACAATACGACAAGTGGGGGGACCAGAATTTGCCAACTTCAGCTTGACACAAGCCTTTCTTTTCATCAATAAAAGTGTATATCAAAGGCTGCCAAACTCGGAAAAGATGGAGTTGGTGGATGGAAAGACGCTTGTACAGCTCATGAGCAGCAGGCACTTGCCAATCTCAGGCCTGCCAACAGACAACGAAATAGCCGATAAGTCCAAACGCGACTGGACACTCAAGTCACTCTCTATCATTCAGACATTGTGGTTCATAGTCAGCGTTGTTGCCCGGCTATCTCGAGGGTACCCTGTGTCTCTATTCGAGGACATCACTGTAGCCAATGCCATTTGTGGCGTTATTGAGTTCGCTTGTTGGTTCCATTGCCCTCAGGACATCCGTCTGCCTTTTATTGTTAAGCCAGATATCCCTAGGGCGGCAAACGGTCCATCTACGGCAGCTGAAAGGGAGGAACCTGAAGAAGAAGCAACGGTTGAGGCATTATTACTTGTTTCCGAGGATGCGACAAAATATGAAGCCTCGTCTGGACCTCAGTTGTCTGTACTCGTGGACATAAGCACGGATAGGCCGAACAAAGAATTTCCAAGCAGCGAACAGCCGCCTCTTACCCAAAAGACAATGAAGCGTCGGGTTTCATTTGCAACTCAACCCGCCGAATTCCGGGCGGCATCAAATAGTCTATTCTCATCCATCTTAGCAGTCTTCTCGGTCTTATTTGCTGGCATTCACATGGCTGTGTGGAACTACAGTTTCCTATCCGTTGCAGAGGCATGGATTTGGCGAGGCAGTTCACTTGCGCTCATAGTGTTGGGTCTCTGCATATCCTTGATTTCCAATCAAATCGATGAGAGGTCTGAGCTAGAGACGGCATGGGACTGGATATTTCTCATCAATACCTTTTTATATCCCTTAGCCCGCACCATGATGCTGGGTGTAGCACTCGCGTCTTTTCGGAAGGTACCCGCGCGTCTGTACGAGACTCCATCGTGGACACAATATTGGCCGCATATCTGATGGGTTGAGGGAGACGCAGCCAGAGGTACTCGAGCCATATGGAGTCGCAGTCCTCGAAGTGACGGCTCACGGGACCTTGATCTCTTGATCGGAAAAGGACAACGGGAAATGTGGCTGAAGACGGAACCAGGAGGAGAAAATTGGGTAGCTGAGAGGAGATGCAATCTTGACGGAGGTAGAAATGCGACGACAAGAAATGGATTCGATTATGAAATGATAACTGGCAACGGAAGAGGAGAAGGGGAGATGGGCAGAGCAGCCTAAAAATACTGTGAGGGAGTGCCGGTAAAAGGAAAGGCGAGCGAATGGGCGGAGCATGGACTTCCAACAGGCGTCCCTTTCCTCGCCGTCGGCGTGGGGGGTGGTCGCGGCAGGTCGCCTCATAAACCTCACGAGGACTTGCTCGTGGTTTAAGCGTATGGCATGTTGAGAGCAGGTGCTTTTGAGTTGGGATTCAAGCGCGGTGTTGAAAGGGTCGGGTTCATATCTTCCCTTCGTTTCGGTTGGGAACGATTTTGTCTCAATGGTTGATCATCGACGTAGCCCGAGGGAAAACAGTGTAAATAAACAACTTGTTTTAGTGGTAATGACTTCCAGACTGATGCCAACCATGGAAGGAAAATTCTGATCAAAGATATCGATAGCTGTGACAAGGGCTGTGTGCAGGGCTTGGAACAGTAGTTCAATTCAGCTGATAAACTACTTTGGTCTCGAAGGCCTTGTTGATCCTCTCAACCTCCAGGGGAAGGCTGGGCTTCAAGGCCTTCTTATGCCGAAGGGAAACGGTACGTATTGGGATACGTACCGGTCCTTGTCGCCTGAGGCTCCAAGGCATCTATCTAGCGACCTGTATACATGTGGATCTTCCTGAGTGTCTTCAACCATTCTCCTTCCTTCTTCTGGCGCCGGCCTTCGTCCGGTCGTCCTGCTTCTTGTTTGGTTGGCTGTGATCGCTTCTGTGATGACTGGGGACTGCCTCATCTCGCTTATTAGCGTCGTCGGCAGCTCGATGGTTGGCTCGCTAGCCTGGTGGCGTCGAGAGGGGCTTGGGTAAGCAATGCCGGTGGCCGAGAGTCTGACCAAGGTGAGGTTGAGTCTCACGGCCGCCGGGCATTCATAAGGCTAATACCATGCGTTGAGGCTCTGCTAAAGCCTCGGCAACCCTAACCCAGAACTGTGGGCAAATGTCCGTGTGACAATAGCACGAACAAGGCGAGGAAGCGACGTTTGGGGTGGGGAAGTAAGGAAGTTAAGACGCAAGGAAGTTCCATGTGAAGGAAAACAGTTGTGAAGTAAGCAAGGCAGGAAGGGTAGATTCTCGATCATGACCATCAAAGCCACCCATTATCGAACTATCACCATCCCTTCCCAATCCCCACTCCCCATGTTAGCTTCCCATCTCATTCACCTTTTTCCTACGGCTTGGCGCTGACACGGGACAATTGCGAAGTACTCGTCGCCGAGTATGATATCCGCTGCAGTGTGGTCCCACGAACCGGACGCAAGCCGCTGGCCATCAGGCGAGAATGCCACTGAGGCAACGAAGTGGCTATGGCCTTCTAGGGTCTGGAGGCAGCTCCCCGACGCCGGATTCCAGATCTTGATCGTGCTGTCCCACGAACTGGACGCAACCCGCTGGCCATTAGGCGAGACACCTCGCCTGCTAATCATGACGGTGTTACAACTACCGATACCCATTCATCCAATCCAGACCGAGCCAACCATGGTCCATCATGGCGCATCGAGCTAATAAATCTGCCCGAGATTCAATGCAATCTTATCGCTCCCAGTGGATGCGACGATCACTACCCTTGGTAGCATAGTTGGGCGACTTCTAATTGCTCAGCGACCCCAGCCAACTAGATGACCAACCCAGTTGCCGCCCACGCCGGCTGTGATGTCGCGGAGATGGTCGGCCAGGTACTGCAAGAGTGCAAGGCACTTTGCCAGGGAACTGGACCATTGAGAGCAAAGAACTTAGACATTTGCCGGATGGGCTTGTGGGGAGAGCAATGAAAGAATCTGGAGAATTCATGGGGGCTTGGCATGCATTTAACGGGGTACTGGGGTAACAAGAGAGGAAGAAGAGAAAAAAAACCACGGCAAAAGTGACAGGAAAATCTTTTTGCTATCACGGTTACAGTTTCTGACACCTCAGTGACAGAAACTGCAGTAGTCTACGCAGTGGAAGACAGTCGATCGAAGATCCTCAAGGACGCTGAGCACGGGGATCTCACTGGCTCAATGGACCATTTCGGCATCTATTCCGCCCTGAAGCGCCCCGAACGGACACTAACGGTGACAGAATAATCCTGCTGGATGGAGATAAAGAATACTTTCCTTCCTTCATAGGTCTCTATTGGCTATTAAAAACATTCACCACGAGGCGAGAATCCTACCTCGTGTTCCTAGTGGAGCTAGTGCGGTGATGACCTGCGCGACTCTTCAGTCATGTGAGTTGAAGCTATCGCCAAGTTCAGGCCGCACACTTTCCTTATTGGCAGTTTGTTCAGAAGTTAATCGGCGAGAGCTCGGAATAATCGTGGTGTCCTATCATCATCCTTCTACTTTATTTCCGGAGGAAGACTATACCTGAGTGCAATTGGGCATCGACAGTGAGACACCCAAGGAGTCTAGACTAGCGGGATTTTGCGCTGAAGATTATGAACATCAACGGGATTTGATCACAACAGATCACGCTAAAGATCACAGCCACATGATGCATTGGCCAATGGTCTGCTTGTATTCAGTCTTCACGGATCACAAAGGATCACTAGCTCCGGGGGCAAACGGTGATGGCTCACTCCACCCCACGGCGCACCGTCCCGGCGCAGCTCCCGTCTCCGGCCCTCCACCCCCGCGCCAAGTAGGACCCCTATTTTCACTTTTCTTTTTGTTTTGTTGCCCCTATCCACATCGATACCTAACCATTACAATCGCCCTTCCAAATACCCAATGGCGCAATCGTAGCTTTCAATTCAACCCTCCGGACTTCATCAGTCCGCCTAGCGGCCTAACCCTCTTAATCCTTATACCCACTGTATCATCAATCTCCTTCACCACTCCAATCACTACCTAAAGACGCCATCATCTAGATCTTCCCATAGATGAACCCAAGCAAATCAACCTCATCCCCAATCTCCCCCAAGAACCCCACAACCTGCCACCCCTCCTCCGCCTCAAACACCTTATACTCGCTCGTCCTCGTGCCCGCCTCCAGCGTCCTGCCCTTGGACGTCGTCGCCTTGATGTAAAAGTTGCGTGTCTTGTCACTCTTCTCACTCTGACAGAGCTCGGACTTGGTCCAGAACTCCCCATCAGCCAGAGTCAGCGAGACCTCCGACCCTCCACGTCCTCCGTGGACTAACTCTGTAGTTCCCTGGCCGCTGGAGTAAGAGATAGTAAGCGCCACCGAATCCAAGCGGCTTTCACCGCGAAACGTAATCTTCCTGGCTTTGATCGGCTCGGGCGTAGAATCGAGGATAGAAACATCGTTGAACCAACTCCCATACGTCGCGCCCCCCCAGAACTCGCTTTGCCGGAGCCGGTCCCCAGCGGACCAAGTCAAGTTCACTAGAACGGGGTTATAATCCGATAACACATTGCCGTCGTCAGACAAGAACTTGAGACCAGCGTACTCAAACCCCGTCGGCTCGAGCTTAACCAACGGACTACTCCGGTAAAGAACCTTATCCACAATCTCGCAAGTCGCGTTCTCAGCTGGGTGTCCACAGACTCCCCCGTCACTCGGCAAAACCCCATCGCGATGAAGTTCGATCCAAGTATCCGTTAACCCTACCCCACGCCCGTTGGGTTCTCGCTCGCCAGCAGCGTGCGAATCCCAGTATCCCCCGTGCGCGAGTAGCGGGAGTTCGTATCCCCGTACACCAGTACCGCATTCCCCTTACTCTTTTCCTTAACCTATTTCCTAACCTGGCGTAGGTTATCGTTCCTAGCCTCCAAATCTCCCTTTTCTGTTCCTGCGTCGGTGTGGAGCTTATAAAAATCCACGTAGACTTCGTTTCCTTTCCCATCAGTGGACCCGTCGGCAGCGGCCCCTGATAAAGCGACGCGCATAAAGGTGAATCCCTTGGGAGTGAGACAGTCGAATTCGGAGGCGCAGGAGGATTTGTTCCATTTTTGACGCTGGAAGGAGCCGGGAAGCCAAGGGAGGTTGGAGAGCGTGTTGAGGCCGGAGCCGAGGGGGACGCCGCCTGAGGTGGGGGTGCGGGAAGGGGTGAGTGTCGGTTGAGTAGATGTGGCGTGGTAGTTGAAGTCCTAAGGGGGGAGGTAGAGGGGGTTAGTGAGTGTTGGGAAACATGGGATGGATGGGTTGTGGTTGGGGGCCGGTGATATGGGGTGATGCTTGGGTGATGTTGGTCGGTCTTAAGTGGGACTGCAGGTGCGGGAACAGGATCAACGTCGCCGGTGCATCAAGTGGTGCATAAGACGGGATGATGCAAGCCGCGCCTGAGCGGCCTAGTATTCCCGCGCCGCAACGTGCCTTCCCGCCTCCCGCTTCGCTTGCTCCCGGCCGCTTTCGGTCCCAAATCCCCAACTTCATCCGAACCCGTCACTCTCCCAGATCCCTGCATTACAAATGAAACACAGAACTCACCTCCTGCATATGAATAACATCATAGCCATACTGCGCGAACTTGCTTCCGATCGTTTTGGCGCTGGCCTCCTTGCCTCCTGGGACGCCGTTGGGGTTGAGGATCGCGGGCAGGCCGGCCACGTTCATTGAGAGGATGGTGAAGTCGCCGGAGGTCGCGGCGGCGGCGGCGAGGGCGCCTTGGGCGATGAGGGTAGTGGAGGTGAACTTCATCTTGGGAGCGTGGACCGTCGCTGGGGACCGGGATGTATGTGAACTGGGAGAAGGACGGAGGATGGAGGATTGATCCTGCGAGGGGCACAAGGATTGGAAAGGGGTAGGTTGGCAGTGACTCGGACGAGAAATCAACCTTCTTTGATCCCACAGTGCAGTCGTCGACGTCGGGAGGAAGAGGAGGAAGACACCCGGGGAGATCGTGACCACGTACACATGTAGGCGAACAACGCCCCTATATTGCCGTTTGTATACCTTCCCCTTTAAGCTCTTCGCCCTTCATGCTCTTATTGCCCTTCCTTCCACTCAACCACCTCCCTCATCCGCACGTGTTATCCCTCTCTCCCCAATTCCCCATTTTCCAAAACTTGCACATCCGCTTGCCGAATAAACGGAAATAGTTGATCATCATGCATCGCTTCGAGATCTACGGCCTCTCCAACCCCTCTTCTCGGAAACTCGCGTGACTCGTTGCTGATTTTGGTGACATCGGCCCGCGTGCCAAGAATCGGGAAAGCAAGACATGCAACGGTTTCCAGGGAGATCGATCGTTCAACGGTTCGATACTTTTATTTGTTAGGTAAGCGGTATTCATATGAAGGAAGGCAGTGGAATGGGAAGGAGGGACGAGTTGCTTGGGTTTGAAGGGAGGCGGAAGGGTGGAAGTGGTGCTGGGTGTTTGAGGTCGGGTTGCCTCTCGAGTATCGGACTGGGAAGGCGGAAGGTGGAGAGGCGTTGTTGGTGTGGGCAGCCGAGAGTTTAGAGGTCGACTGGAACGATGACGGAGATGTCATGATACAGTATGGTCAACGGGCGACCGGGCTCTGTTTGGTGGAGCCTGTCACTGATTGGCCGGTGGAGTTACAGGGAACCGAGCTGCCGGGACGGTAAGAACCTTAATATTGTGCCATCAGTGAATCCGAGGCTCGCTCCTTCCTCAAGGTTCAGTCACCTCACTTACAGTAGATACCTCTACCTTAGTAATAACCTGGAAGGTACCTAGGCCCTAGGTTTCAATGGAGTTGGTCTGTGATTCCAAGCCAAGCATCTTTGTTGTCTCTTCTGCCTGCACAACCATTTGCCATTTGATAAGGTATCGAGCACATGATGACTCAATTAGGCCGTTCACATTAGCGCGCTTAAACTGTTCACTAGCGTGCCGACCTTCCGTAAAAAGCAACCCTTCCGCTGAACAGCCGACTCTATTCAAGTAGTCAGAACATGGAAATCACAACATGCCACCTTCTATTTGTCCCAAGCGTCACTTCGTACCTGCGATGAGAGAGTTTTCTATATATTCAAGCCTCAGAGAAATGGTGCTACCAGGGAATTTGGGGCCCGGCAAGATGACAGCTCGGCCTAAGAATGCGACGCTGTGACTCACGTGGCAGATCTCATTAACTGTTGAACCCTTTACTCATTCCCGGGAAGCACATATCTAAATAGGAGGGTCGCTCATGGTCCTTCTTCTTTTCTTAATCTTGTTGATATTATTTGGCGTACACCACAATCAATCAGTACAATCAACCCATACAATCAAGCAGTAGTTGATCCACGACGTGTTGCACAGTTTATGGTCATTTCTCGCTCGAAACACAGACAGTATATACTTGTTACCATGGAGCGGATTCAGCTGCCGTATACACTCCAAACACGGGTAGGTATGGTCACAAACAACGGCCTGCCGGCAACGTACTGGGGGTATGTCACCACCACCGCGAAGGGCGAGGCCCTCGAGAAGCACGATACCGTAACCTTACCAGACGTCAAAACCGCTGCGTACAACCAGTTCCGGGAGAGCTTGGAGGATCTCTCAATAACCGAGAACTGGGAAATCAGCTCGTTCCAAGACTACGTCGAGACAGACTGGTTCGATGCCAGTCATGCCGCTATCTCGGAGACAGTCATCGCCTGCTTGCGCACCAACCGGCTTCCTAACCGAGAGCTCATCCGGGGAAGGAAAATTGACAAGGACCGCTTCATCGACAACGTCTTGGCTTACCGCAACCAGAAGAACGATATCCACCAGCTGATGACCTTCATGAAGAACCGCAGCCGGCTAAGCCTGGAGCAGGCCGCGGCGGTTGTGGTATCAGCGTTCGTCAACCATAATCGGCTGGCCGACGCCGAGGTGCTGCTCCACGAGCTGACAGGCGTCCTGGCGGTGTCATACATGAGCGAGAAGTGGGACATGACTGTATCTCGGAACACACTGGCCAAAGGCGCGGCCGAGGCGTTCGCACATGCGGCTGAGATGGCGCAGCTATGCTGCTCCAAGGCCATCGAGCGACGCGGCGAGTTGGCGGTGGAACCGCCGAGGAACTATCGCGATTTTGTCCAGTTGCTGTTGCGTGTGAGAAGCGTGCGTCCGCGCACCAAAGACAGATGCCTGTATATCCCGCCGTGGATGTTTGAGGCAGCGGGTATCGAGCCTGCCGGCGGCCATGAGGTGCATCTGAACGAGTACCAAGCTGATCTGGAGGAGAAGGACCAGCTACTCGATGTTCTAAGAGGGTACAAATGGCCCGAGAACCCGGCAGGGGGTGACAGCATCATCTTGTCGAAGCACCCCTTCCGCATACTCCAACGCAGCATCTTCCGGCTCTACCATTTCTGGGATCCGATGGTCAGGCTGCGGCGCAGGGTCCGCGAGCTGGAGGATAAAGTCTTGTATGCTTCGGCGTGGATCGATAAGCAGTTGCGCGAGACAGACGACGTTGCTAAGGTGGCATTCTGGTTCTTTGCCTACCAGAGACGGCTCCAGCTGAAGGTCGTCAGCGACAACCGCTGGACGCGGTTCCTGGCCAAGGGCGAGGGCTCGCTGCTCTACCAGAATAACCTCAAGCTGAAGTCCACGTTTGAGCAAGCCCTAGCACGTATCGCGGGCTTGGAACTGGATAGTCTTACCAAAGGCGGCGACGGGGATACGCTAGGCCTGATAGACGAGACGTGTCTCCTCATGAAGGAGTACGTGGACCTTTACGGCCGGGGGAAGAAGGAGAGTCTGGTCTTCCAGAAGGGAATCAGCGGTGGGAAAGGAAGGGGGCCGGTCGACGAGTATAACATGCTGTGTGTTATCCTGCGGGATCTCAAGTCCAGGGCGGAGGAAGAAGGTATCGAGGACCTGCCTGGCCCGGTGTACAAGTTCTTGGCCAAAGACATCATGTTCTGGAATAAGAGCTGGGATGATGATGCATTTGCCAACGGCAAGGTGCATGGCTGGGAGGAGTGGGTTGTGAAGAGGGGGCTGGTTTAGGGGACTTGCACAGTCGGCGTGATCATAGGTATTCTGCAAATCCAAATGCCCTAACGTATCTTTATTTCAACAAAAAAGACTCGTGTAAATCGGGTGTCGTTCCAGCTTGTATATCCAGGTGTAAGTACCCGTTTTGTCAGTCATGTTCCTGCCTCTTTAGAATACAAATGAGATCACGATAGAAGTTTGCCAGCCACGTCTGGCACTCCGGCCTGCAAGGTACTTTCCCCGATCTACTCCATCACTAGTGTACATCCGTCCGCCCGTCGTGCTTATCGCGCAATCGTTAAACAACCCCGAACAAAACGCCGTGACCGCCTGGAAGATACACGAAAGGAACTATCTAGGAAGACATTTTGAGGCACCAAGACGGACTAAGGTAGTGAGATATGTACCTGGGTCCCAAGCCACGCTTGAGCCCGTTATGCTAGGGTGTGTGTGGGAGTTAGTAAGCTGCGAGGATAAAGAGGAGGAGAATAATAACGTACCTGTAGGACGCCACGCTTGAGTCCGTTATGTTAGGGGGTGCGTGGGAGTTAGTAAGCTGCGATGATAAAGAGGAGGAGAAAAACGTACCTGTAGGACTTTTAGCCCTCCACCTACCCGTAGGCCATGCCATTTACACCTACACTGCCTAAACACCAAGAAAGAAGAGAAGAAACACACATTACCAACTCCTACCCTCTCTTCTTCCCTACTACCCTCCTCCTAACGTACGTCCGACCCACGGTCAAAGCCGCCACTGGGACCACGCTTACTCCTCCCCTCCCCACAACCCTTTACCCCCCCTCCCTAACTCCCTTGTCCCCCACTATTCCACTCCCCGCTATTCCACCCCCCACTGCCTCTCACCCTTCCTTTCCCTCTATTACCCTCCTCCCGACGTACATCCGACCTACAGTCAAAACCGCCACTGAGACCACGCTCTACAACACCATAGTACTCCTCCCCTCCCTACAACCCTTCACGCCCCCTCCCTAACTCCCTCCCCCCCCGGTACTATTCCACTCCCCACCGCACGCACAGCCTCTTAAGGATACTTAGGTGGCCGGGTCCGCTCTTGGGGAGCGGCGCCGCCTCTGCCACCACCTCTGCCACCACCTCTGCCTCTGTTGTTGTTGGACGGGCGGACCTCCTTCCTGAAGTTGATGCTGGCACGGCATGCGGCCGAGAAGTGACCCTTGCGGCCACAGCGGGTGCAGGATACAAGTTACGTCTCGTCTCGAGCAGCTTGTTAGCTATACAATGCACCAAGAAATACAACAAATGTCAGAGAAGGACCAGCAATGCCTGAAGCACTTGCGCCTTACCGATCCTCGCGATGATAAAGTCCGCATCGAACGGACCAAAGGCGGCCTTTTGCAAAACTCATATTGTTGGGTCCTCAATAACGCTGACTTTCAACAATGGCGTGACGACCCACAGCACCGACTGCTCTGGATCAAGGGCGACCCCGGCAAAGGGAAGACTATGTTGCTGTGCGGCATCATCAATGAGCTGGATCAAGGCGATACTGTCAACGCGCGCCACTGCAATGTGGCCTACTTCTTCTGCCAAGCTACCGACTCTCGCATCAACAATGCAACCGCCGTACTGCGCGGCCTAATCTACCTGCTTATCGAGCAGCAGCCATCTGTCCTCCCACACCTGCGGAAGGAGTATGACCGTGCAGGCGAAGGCCTCTTCAAAGATGCAAATACGTGGGACGCCCTATCGAGAATCTTCACCAACATCCTACGAGACCCAAGCCTCCGAACGACCTACCTAGTCATTGACGCGCTTGACGAGTGCGTTACAACAGACCTGCCACAGCTTCTCGACTTTATTGCTCAGCAATCATCATCTGGATCTCGAGTCAAGTGGATCGTCTCAAGCCGTAATTGGCCGCAAATTGAGGAACGGTTGGAGAAAGCCGCAGATAAAGTGAAGGTCTCCCTGGAGTTAAATGCGGAATCCGTCGCAGCGGCTGTCAATGCATTTATCCTGCACAAGGTGGATGACCTAGCAGGGCTGAAGAAGTATGATCCAAGGACAAAAAAGACCGTTCAGGACTACCTGTGCTCCAACGCGCAAGATACGTTCCTTTGGGTGGCGTTAGTCTGTCAAGCGCTTGAGAAGGTCCAGAAAGGGTTTACCCTAAAAAAGCTACGCATGTTTCCATCTGGACTGGATGCTCTATATGCGCGGATGAGAGAGGATATGAGCCAGCTCGATGAATCCGATCTTTGCAAGCGCCTTCTTGCTATTGTTACAATTGTTCGCCGGCCAATTAGCCTTGAAGAATTAACTACTCTCGCCGACGAGCTTGATAACACTTACGACGATTCCGAGTCATTAGAAACAACTATAGGGCTTTGTGGTTCATTTCTAACACTACGAGAACGAACCATCTATTTTGTCCATCAATCAGCTAAGGACTTTTTACTTGGCAATGCCTCTGATAAAGCTGGCAACCAAGCTTCTCAGGAGACGTTCAAGTGGATTTTTCCTTCTGGGAAAGAAGATGTGAATTATACCATCTTCTTGAGGTCACTTAAAGCCATGTCTACAACACTGCGACGCAACATATACGGCTTAAGGGCACCGGGATTTCCGAGCGACAAGGTCCAAGTACCGAATCCGGATCCGCTAGCGACGGTGCGGTACTCGTGCGTCTACTGGGTTGATCACTTGTGTGACTCGGTTTCCGGCACGAACACAAAACGGGATGATCTTTTACGGGATGACGGGGTTGTCTATGCATTCCTTAAGATGAAGTACCTTTACTGGCTGGAAGCTCTAAGTCTACTCCAAGTTATGCCTGCGGGCGTTGTTGCTATTAGAAAGCTCGAGGGCCTGCTAGTAAGTATAAGTCTAACTCCGCACTAGGAACTTAGTCTAACTAAAGATATAGGGAGGTAATGATCAGTCGCAGTTATCAAAGCTTGTTTGGGATGCTTACCGGTTTGCTCTGTCTTATAAGTCAATAATAGAGCAAGCTCCCCTTCAAACATACATATCAGCGCTTGTATTTGCTCCAAGCAGTGGCTTGATAAAGAGGAATTTCAGGGCAGAAGAACCTGAATGGATTCGAACTAAGCCGGCTGTAGAATTGGATTGGAATGCATGCCTCCAGACCCTAGAAGGCTATAGCGGCCCCGTTCCCTCAGTGGCATTCTCGCCTGATGGCCAACGGCTTGCGTCCGGTTCGGGGGACAACACGATCAAGATCTGGGATCCGGCGTCGGGGAGCTGCCTCCAGACCCTAGAAGGCCATAGCGGCCCCGTTCCCTCAGTGGCATTCTCGCCTGATGGCCAGCGGCTTGCGTCCGGTTCGTACGACAACACGATCAAGATCTGGGATCTGGCATCGGGGAGCTGCCTCCAGACCCTAGAAGGCCATAGCGACTCTGTTCTCTCAGTGGCATTCTCGCCTGATGGCCAATGGCTTGCGTCCAGTTCGTACGACAACACGATCAAGATCTGGGATCCGGCGTCAGGGAGCTGCCTCCAGACCCTAGAAGGCCATAGCGGCTACGTTGGCTCAGTAGCATTCTCGCCTGATGGCCAACAGCTTGCGTCCAGTTCATGGGACAACACGATCAAGATCTGGGATCTGGCGTCGGGGAGCTGCCTCCAGACCCTAGAAGGCCATAGCTGCTACGTTGGCTCAGTGGCATTCTCGCCTGATGGCCAACGGCTTGCGTCTGGTTCGGATGACAACACGATCAAGATCTGGGATCCGGCGTCGGGGAGCTGCCTCCAGACCCTAGAAGGCCATAGCCGCCCCGTTCCCTCAGTGGCATTCTCGCCTGATGGCCAACGGCTTGCGTCCGGTTCGTGCGACAACACGATCAAGATCTGGGATCCGGTGTCAGGGAGCTGTCTCCAAACGATTATTACTAGTACTATGATGACCTATATATCATTTGACCATACTAATTGCTACCTACGTACCAACGTTGGACGTATTAAAATAGATACAGAAACTACCGAAAGCCAAGTTGTACTAGATAATCCAGAGAGCCATGGCTATGGCTTGGGACAGGGTAGTTCGTGGATTACTTGCAACGGCCAGAACGTACTCTGGCTGCCACCGAATTACCGACCGTCTAGTTGTGACCTCCAGGGACGGATGATATCCATCGGCAGCGAATCGGGACTGGTTTGGTTTATTGGCTTCTCGCAAGACATATAATGTATTCTATGTCTTTCTTAATTCCTTTCTCTCTATTTCATTTTCCTAGCGTGCCACCAGAAGGGTTTGTGAAGATGGGCAAATTTATAGGAATTTTGTAAATTCTAGTAACCTTCTACTGTTGTCAAGATGATGTATTCCATTGCGAAGAAGCAAGACTATTCCATCCCTTGACTCTCCTTTTGCGGGTGCCTGTGCTGTCCAGATGCCACGGGATTAACTCGTGACTGCCCAGTCATGGCCAAGCTTGGTACAATAGTAGAGGCCTCGATTCTCCTCGATCGGATAAGTGGTCTCTTCCTTGGTGGTGTTTGGGAGAGCCAACATACTTGTAGTAGCGTCGCCATAGCTACATGGTCTTCCCTAGTCTAGATGCGGGGGATCGCGGTTTAACATGCAGCTTTATACCACCGATTGGGTGTTGGAAGGTACTCCAAGACTGACTTTATACTAGGTAGTAATTTGGCTCGTATGGGTGACGAAATGCTATCCCTCTTTCTGGATTAACCATGCCGACTGATGGGAAGAAGCTCAGTCTTGTGAATGGTCGTTACTACCACTCCAACATCTCCGGTTCAGAATTCCGCCTGCGGCTTTGAACTTGGTTGTGATAACCCAGAACAGGACAGCGAGTTCTACAACTTTACGCCCCCGCCGCTGGAGGATAAGGTCACCGTGTGCTTCCATAGAACCATGATATCGAAACCTAATTTAGAATTAACCTTCAATGTGCTAGCCCGCCTCATAGGCTTAGCCGCGCTTGGCGTGAGTACCTAGGTGGAAACGGTGTATTCGGTGAGCTTGGCGTGAGTGATGGGATGAAAACGCTTCTGGAAACGCCGGCGTTTCTACACCTCTGTGTGACGAACGGCAGTCTGATCTGCCTAAGTGGGATAACTGAAGGTGAAGACTATCAGAAGACGTTCGGTGAAGCCAAAAGGTTCACGACAAGTATGGTAGCGTTATACTAGTCTCAATGATAATGATCTGTTGACTACTGCAGAACTATCTGACAATCTGAGTTCTCCAGTCTTCCCTTTATACTCTGGTGTCTCTAATTACATGCATCTGGCTCATTGACCGCGAACTGGCTCATAAGCCCTGAGCTGGCTCACCTTCATGAGCCTGGCTCGCCTCCATGAGCCTGCCATCCTTGTCATGGTTACACTGCCCGGCCTTCACGTGGCTTGTTGTGTACCAGGGGCTTGGTTGGCCCGTGTCCTTCGCTTAAAGTCCGTAACACTCTGCCGGCCTATGAAAGGTCAATTTTTGACTTTTGCCACAGCGTGGCACCTACAGAAAAAGTGCCCAGTGTTACGAACTTAAGCGACACAGGGGCTGACCAAGCCCTTGGGACGCGACAGCACTGTTAGAGATGGTTGAGTGTAACCCCAGACGGGGATTGGCCGGAAGGGCGCTCACCGTGGGAGAGTGCTCACGGTGAGCCACTGCTCACGGTGAGCAGGAAGGCATCGTGAGCCAACATGCAAAACAGGCACACAGGCAGGACGGCCAGGAGTATAAAGAGACGACTGGAGAACTCAGATTGTCAGATAGTTCGACAGTAGTCAATTGATCATTATCACCGAGACCAGTATTACGCAAGCATACTTGTTGTGAACCTTTTGGCTTCACCGAACGACTCTGATAGTTTACGACCTTCAGCTATCTCATTTAGGCAGATCAGACTGCCGTTCGTCACACCCAGCCGCTAACCTCTGTTCCCCTACTTTCTGTAGGATCGACGTACTCGCCCTAACATTCATATCCCGGCAGAGGTGTAGCTGAGTCATCCAAACCCCTGTAAAAAAAACTACTCCCATAGACTTTTGTTGTTGTTGTTGTTATTTTTAACGTCTACTTCCGCCTCCCGTAGGGCATGAGACGTGCCACAGCGGTGAATCTAGTGTACAAAGATAAGAGCAGTGCCCTGACACGCCCTGTGGCGCCCAGTGTCTCTATTCCATCCACCAAACCAGTAATCCGAGGGCAAACCGAGGCCTATAGCCAGTGTGTCTCACGTGCTGCCCATAGCGTAAACGCGGCCCAGCACCTCCATCAACCGCCCCGTGGACGAGCCAGCGATGTGGCGAAATCCGTAAAGACAAAGAAAAGACAAAAGAAAAGGGGAAACTAAAAACACTCTACTCCTCACCGCTCTCTCCCTCGCTGCCGTCCCTCACGGCTTCCTCCCGCCGTCTAACACGATGGACCAGCCTGTCCAAATCCACCGTAACCCTCTCGATCTCGTGGCCTTGGCCAACTTCTATCCCTTCGTCCCGTAAGAACCCGGTGAAGTCGTCAGCGGTGCCTCCGTCGTCAATGTGTTTTTGCCAGAGTGTCTGGCGCCAAGCCTTCCTTGTGCAAGTCCATGAAAAGAAGTGGGAGGTCTGTATTCTAGCAATAAATCGTTGCCAGTATATACCGATAGCAAGGGAGAGATTCTCCCGCGTAGCCGCCTCGCCTGTGACCGGGGAGACCGCGTACGCCTTCCTACAGAAGAAGGGGTGGAAGGGGTTCTTCCAGCTTCCACAGAAGCATGTGAGCAAGGCGTCTTCGTGCTCGAAGCGCTCGTGGTAGTCCTTGAAATCCCCGTGGCCTGATCTAGCCGCCAGAAGATGGTGAAAGGAGCGCCTATCCAGCTCCAACTCTTCATTAGGCTTAATAGAGACGCCCAGCTTATAGCCTGCATACGACTCTGGCCTGTTCTCTGCCCACCATATCCTAAAATCCGTACGTATCTCTCTTTTGGCTAGCCGCTTTGAATGTGCAAGGGTAGCCAGACCTCCGTTGACCACCTCTCCCCCTTCGGCGCCCGCTTTAGCAAGCTCGTCAGCGATTTCGTTGCCTGTAATACCCTTGTGGCCGGGGACCCAGCGCACGTCTACCAAGTCCGGGCCGTAAGATTTCCGGGTATCTCTAAAGTCGAGGAAGGCTGCCTGCGACGATATCGCCGGGGTGCCGCGAAGGCCCCTAATGACCGACGTATTATCAAGGCATACCGTAATGCGCGGGCGGGCGTGTGCCTCCGTGAAAAGTGCTACCGCGGCTTTAAGGCCATATCTCGCTCCTTCTGCCTCTGCATCAAAGACTTCCGCATGTTCTAACTGACCGCAGCCGCGGCCAAGCTCTGTCTGACCCTGTAAAACCACGTAACCGAAGCCGACGCATTCGCCGTCCGGCCGTTCCTCCTCAGCATCCGGGTCCTCCGCGTGTATTGGAAGGTCTATTTGTTTAGCAATCATGGAGCCATCAGTATAAACGACGACTTCCGTAGGATGTAGCCAGAGGAGCCACTCTTTAAATTCCACGGCCGCCCTATCTTTAGACGTAGGCGCTGGGTTTTTGTGAGTGTCCCCATTATAAATTGGCGGCTGCAAAATTGGCCGCGGGAAGGGCAAAGCGAGCTGGGCGGCCGTCTGTAGTGATGTAAGGCGGCGGGGTAGGCCATGTCGCGTTGCTCGCACCTCTGTGAGGCGTGGGACGAGTGGGTGGGTGGGGTCTAAGGCGAGGAGGCGGACGGTGTGTCGCCGGCGGGCTGCCTCTAGAAGAAGGGGGGCCGGGGGAAGGCTGGCCTCGCGGTAGAGGATAGCACGGCGGGTCGTCTTCCAAACCGGCAAACTGGCGCGAATAGCGATGTTAACTACAGTCTGGACTTTACGGACGTGGTCCGCCAGGCCGTTACTAACAAGCGGAAATTCCCCTTGCTTGCGGTATAGAGCATGCTTTTTGTGGCCCGGCCACCAGATTTCGGAGCCAAAGAGAGCTTTTGGCAGGACAACAGCCTTCATGGCTTTCACCATAGAGCCTGGAGGGGCGCCATAGTAGACCCTATTCAGGCCACGGATGTGCTGGACTACCTGCTTAGCTGAGGCGAGTTTGTGCTCAATGTGGTACTTCCAGTTTAGCTTGCTATGGAGCCAAATCCCTAGCCAGCGCATCGCTGGCTGTGCAGCAACTACAACCTCGCCGTGCGTGATAGTCGAGAAGGGAGCAGTTAGTCTCCTTCTAGAGAAGAACTGGATCTCTGTCTTGTCCGGGGAAAAATTGACGGCGTTATCTACCCCCCACCGGACCATGGCGTCCAACTCCTGTTGGGCCTTCTCAGCAACTTCCTCGTTGGAAGAGCCAGTGATGAGGACCGCACAGTCATCGGCGTACCCAAAATGTTGTGCTTCGCTTTCTCCCAGGCGATGTACCGGTTCCGTATAGAGCAAATAGATAATCGGCGAAGCAGGAGAACCCTGGGGGAGCCCACATTTGAGGCGACGCATAGGGGTAGTCACCCCCGGGCAGCGAACGCAAGCCATTCGATCCGTCATAAAAGACTCGACCTAGCAGACTACGCAATTTGGCCATCCCTGTTCCCGCAAGCGTAAGACCAACCTATTTACTAATACAGCATCGAAAGCACCCTTGACATCCGCAGCCACCAGTGCAGCCACGAACCCTCTATCGAGTGCATCTTCGATGCCGTGCACCAAAGCTTCCACAATATCAACAGCCGAACGCTTAGGGAGGGCACCCGCCTGTTGAGGATTTAATACCCCGTTAGAGATAGCCGTCCAAGCGATCCGTCTGCCAATTAAACGCTCAATACCTTTTCCAAGGCAGGATAGGAGTGAGATTGGCCGCCATCCTTTGGCCGTTGTTTGGTCTTTTCCCGGTTTTGGTATCATAACCACCTCCGCTTGTCGAAAGACCTGAGGGTGGTAGCCGGTAGCGACGCAGCCCTGGTAGAGTTGCTGGACAGAGTCTTTAATAGACTCCCAAGACGCTTTCAGCATACGGACTGTAATGCCGTCGGCGCCGGGGGACGTATTGCCGGTGCCGCAGAGGGTTTTATAGACTTCGTCGGCGTAGACGACCGGAGACCAGGGTAAACGACGACGTGGCACCGTAGGCACCCAGCCGGTTTCAAGGTCCTCGTCTTTACCATTCCTCTCTAGCAGGGCCGTACGGAGGGCTTCTGCCTTGGCTTCTGGGTCTACGATAGCCCGCCCATCTATAATAAGCGGGGGGGCTTCCATACGGTCGCGGGGCTTGTGCCACGCTACGATCCGATAGATGTCCTTATCATCGCGTGCTTTGCTGATGAGGTTGTCGAAAAACTGCTGCTTTTGGGCACTTCGACTTGGACGCAGCCAAAACGGGCACCAATCTCATCTTTGTGGGCCAGGAGGGTCTGGCGGACAGCGTCATTCTTGGGCACGAGGGCAAAGCCAGAGGGGACCTTGTGGCAACCAGGGATGTCAGTGGGGGCGAGGCGGAGAAGAGACTGAACCTCTTTGCGGATAGCGAAGGCGTCGTTGTTGGTGAAAGGGGAGTCCTTATCTAGTCGAAGAAAGACGCGGCCGTCACTTTGGGGCAGCGTAGCCTTACGGGTGGGGCTGGAGTGGGAGGCGGGAGTGGAATCCGCACCGCGGGCGGCAGCTTCTGCGAAAGAAATGGGCCCCTTTCCCTTACGGGTTAGGGTAGGGGAAGTGGAGACCTTCCTGCTTGTTGGGGCAGTAGGGTCCGGAGGAGGCGAGGGAGGTGAAGCAGAACTTTTCTGTAGGGCGGCGGTGATGGTCCGTGCGAGGCGGTCGGCTTCACGTGCGTGAGCGGGCGAGACGACGGAGAAGCGGGCGAGTTCGGTGTCGAGGAAGGCGGCGAAGGAGCGGTAGACCTCCGCTTTGGCGAGAGCTTCAGAGATGACGGTCTCAGCGAAGGACGTGATGGGGCCGGAAGCAGCAGGGGAGGCGGTGATGGCGTGGGCGGGACGCAAAGGGTGTCCGGCAGAGGGGTAACCGGCGTCGTGACCGGCGGCGTTGGTTTGGGGGCCCCAAGGGGCGAAGGTAGTTGTGGTTGTTGGGATATCGACCGTGAAAACGGCGATTTGGGTGGTGTTAAGGGTTTTGCGTGCAACCAAGCGTTAACACTAACACTTGGCGCCAAGACTTTTCGTTGTAGGAGGAAGATGTGTTTTGCTCGCCTGAAGGGATATACGTACGAAAACTGTTCACCAAAGCCAACCACACCTCCCAAAAGCCAACCACACTTCCCAAAAGCCAACCACACCTCCCAGTTAGAAGTACTAAGTATATAGAGTAGGTGTCAGGGGTAAATGGTAGGGGTAAGTACCTTGTGTAGTGTATGCCTAGCCTACTCAGCTGGGCTTGGCGTAAGTGGAACGGTGCACTCGACGGCGAAGGCAATGGAAAACGGTTCTAGAAACGGGGGCGGCGTTTTTAGCTGAGTCATCCAAACCCCTGTCGAAATCTACAAAAAATTACTCCCATAGGCAAGCCACCGATTAGTGGCTTATCTATGGGAGAGCGGACGGGATCCCGAGTTTTCCACTATCTATGGCCGTATGTGCTTATTACACGCGAATCTTGGCTTTATATACCCCCAGGGACCCTATAAGCTGTTTGTTTCACGGACTGCTTGACACCGTGAACTGTGATACTGGCGGTTTGGTGAGCTTTTGGGTCGGGCCGTACCTCAACTCCATTCTTTTGGTTATGCCGGTGTCTTTGCAACAGATGAATCGTAGTACATTGGCGCGTTGCCCGTTCTAGTTGCGAATATGAGTTTGTACCGTCTCGCTCTCCTGTAGACTGAGTGAAGAAGATCAGCCTGCGACTTTTGATTTCGACGGGTGTGATAAAGCACGTTCAGTTGAGCTTATCAGGGTTAGATGAGTAGAAATGGGCGGGATTGGTCGAGGGTTATTTATGGCGCCAAGATCCTATTTTCAGTCTTTGACTGTTTCGCCCGCGGCTCTACTCAGCATCGGATAGATCCGTATATAAACTGAAATTGACTTGTTCAGAAACCTCGGTATGGTTAATGGTCGGTCATGTTGAAAAGCACAGAACCACGAGACAACAAGGCGGTCACAAACGGCTGTCAGTTGAGGCTGAGCCTCTCCGACCCTGAAGCGTGACCTCCGAGGGCATGGAGGGTCAGAGGTTGATGACTGCGGAACATCCAAAACCTCGGGGGATCAACATGATGGAGCAAAAATGGGTGGATAGCCGTCAAAGACGTTCCCCTGGATCATGGTGGGTGCCTGGCTAAAGCAGGTCCGGCCGTGGTCATCACGGCGGTTGCTGTGGTGAAGAGACCCCGGAGGTGACCAAACCTTGCCACCCGACCAACATTTGCGACACTGAGACCCCTGCTTCACCGAGATCGCGTGCGACTGCGGTTGAGGTTTTGGAAGTAAACAAACGCGGCTTCATCCTTTGTTCAGTCATCGCTTACCTCTTTTAACATGTTCAATGAGACGGTAGAAAATACAGAGACAACATACTGATATTGATAACAATGAAGATGGCGACGTCATAGGGCAGAGGGTTCTCAGGCACAGGGTTTTGCCGAGATAATCCAAAAGTGAGGGAGCTGCCCTTGCCAACTGGCGGGGAAAGCTCCACACTTTGTTTTGATCACCATCGGCTGGAGGTTTGTTGCGAACAAGTTGCCATCAAAATCACAAGATCAAGTACATGCCTACGATAACGCACAACGTTGTTGTGTTTCCCTCCTCAATTTGAATCCAGTCTCTAAAGCCGTGTCTGTACGACTTCAGAAGCGGTCTGGGTTACAGTACTGCACTGCACTGCAGCCCTACTGGCTCTGTTAGTCAACTTCTGCAAGCTGTTAGAGTGTCAATTGCAATCGGCAAGTCCTTGGGTTTACTGCCCGTGTTTGCGGTTGGCTGCCTCCATAATCACTCCCACTACTTCCACATTGTCTTATACCATGAACTGCCATATCCAGAAAGTTACGCCTGCGGTACACCATTCATACCAGTTTCAGACTCGATTCAAGTTGAGGTTCAGACCCGCGTGCTTATCACGAGCTTATCGGACTGCCGGTTCCCGCGCGTCGACAGCCAGCGGCTAAAACAGAGTCACCCTTCCAAGTTTATTTCTTCCAGAAGCAACAACTGCCACCACCAACTTTTGGCTGCCTTGACAACCAAGAACCACAATCCCACCAACACGAGAACGGTCGCGTCTTGTTCTTGCGTCTGTAAACGCATCCTTCCGCGCTGCAGCTGCATCACACTTCTATCGACAGACGGGAAGACGGGCCTTGCCTCCTTCACTGGTAACCATGCCCTCCCCCTGCCTGCCCTGCCTGCCCCGCATCCTGACCAGCCCATCCAAGCCCTGGCCAGTGACGCAGCCCTGAACTTCGACCAGTTGCATAGCCTGGAATGACCCGTCAGCCTAACAAGTTCTTCTCCTCCAGACAACAAGCTCGACCACACATTCGCTCGTTGATCGCGCTGAGATTTCACCCACCCGACTTGTCATTCGTGCCCGACAACCGACACTTCTGACGGGCGAACACGCGACCTGCAGACCCTACCTCCCTGCGCCAGAGAAACAACATCAACTTGTCCAACACCCAGACATTGCCTTTCGCTAGCAAAGAAAACATTCCAAACGACTATAGGCACCCTTGTTCGCTCGCAACCGACCACCTTCCCCCGCTTTCGATCGATTTGTGGCTCATCTCTGCTCGCTACATCGCTTTTCGCAGCTGGTCCTTCGACATATACGATACGATATACCCTACGCCGTGGCATGCAAAGATTTACTGTACCTTCGCTTAACATCACAACACCGTCAACATGGTAGTAAAGGTGGACTACGACCGCGACTACTATGCGGACCTTGAGCTACCTTCAACGGCGGATACCGCTGAGGTGAAGAAGCAGTTCAAGAAGCTTGCCCTCAAATACCACCCGGATCGCAACCCAGGAAAAGAAGAGGAGGCCAAGGATAGGTTCATCCACATCCAAGCCGCACATGAGGTCCTTACCGACCCGTCCAACAAGGCCAAGTACGATGCCTACCGGAAACGAGGAGGAGCTGCTACGAGCAGGTACTCAACAGCCTCTGGCCACCGCGGAAACCCATACTCGAACGTCTCGGCCGATATGGCAGACAGATATGGCGCTCCTCCTACGCGACGAACCCCTCATATGCCGTCCCGTGCCGACCCAGGTCCGTCGGCACACGCACGCTACTCGTCTTGGGGGACAGGGACACCATCGTCCTCCTCATCTTCACGTCCAGTCCCACCAAAGACGGCATCTGCTGCCGACAACTTGCGCGCATGGGATGCTATGCGGTCAAGCACCAAGACAGGCCAGACATCTTCGTCAACGCCCAAGTCGTCGGGTTATGCGTCAGCACGAACGGAACGGACCGAACGGACCGAAAGTGCCAGGAGGGAGCCGCCTCCAGTACCACCACGGACCGCGGGGCAGGCTCGTCGTGCCGATGCTGCCTTTGGTACCACCAGACGGGCTGGCTATTCACCGGATTCCCCAGTGGGCGACGAGCCATCTGTGTCGAGACATAACTACACTTCCAGCGCCCACTACACGGCTACGACCAACATGTTTGAGGATACCGCCGCTAACATCAGGAAATCACGGCCGCAATCGTCCCCCACCCCGGTTGACCCTTTGAGCGAGAAGTTTAGTGAGACATACCTGGACAGCAGACAACGGACCCCATATGCCTCCCATATCGGCGAAAAGTTCAACCCCTTTGAAGGAGCCAACGTCAACAGAGCAAAGTCCATGAAAGACCCCTCCCGGCCCACCGAGGAATCCGAGGAAGAGGTGCCCCCTCCGCGCCCGTCGCGACAACGCAGCGCTAGTGTCGGTGAGTCCAACAGCTTCGGGAAGGCGGCCAACGGCGGGACCACATCCTCTGGAACCTCAAAAGCTGAGCCGCGAGCCAGCGCGCGATATTATGCCCAGGAAGCTGAACCCAGGTCAGCACCCAATACAGCAGCCAACCCGACGCCGCGTGCGTCCAGCTCGTCAATGAGAAGCAACCCGAATGGTATGTCAGCTTTGTCTGTATTTTAACGTACAGTGGCTAACGCTCCCACAGCTCAACCCGGTACCTCGGAATCAGCGCAGGAGGGCCCCAAAGTGTACGCTCCATCTCCTTTCTTTAAACCCGATGAATACTTCAAATCAACCTCCTCTTTCGGTCAACCCAGCAAGATTCGACCGCCGCATGTTTTCAGTCATGCCGGCGCGGGAAGTTACCGCGGAAGAGCTCATGAAGATACGGCAAATAACCGGAAGTCTCATGGCAGGGAAACTCCGAGTGGAGATCAGTCGACCTCCGGGGACATGTCTTCCTTTGAGAAGGATATGCACGACCAGCTGCAGCTTCTCCTGGGAAGGCGTAAGATGCATTCACGGAGACAGCATATAAAGCCGACCGACAACCCCCTCTCGCCTAGGAAGACCAACGTACACAACAGGGTCCAAAAGCAGCGAGCGACTAACAGCGTATACCCCAATAGTTTCACCGTCCCCGACGACGATGGATACACCCAGAAGCAACAGGCATCAGGCGACTTCACCCGGAGTGGCGTTCATAACATCAACGCCAGCTTTGTGGACCAGGAAAAGGTTGGTGCAGGATTTCAGTTTAACGCCGGTGGATCGACCACCATTCCCGGAGCTGACGCCTTTTCGCGCGCAAAGCAACGAGCACGCTCGGTTCCCCGCGGCCGCCAATCACCCCTCAAAAAAACTTATACGTCTTCCAACGAATCGGTCAGCGGCGCCACTCGTCCGCCGAGCGAGACGAACGATGCAGGTAAGAAGCCAAGTGCCTTTGACGCCGGTCAATGGCAAGCAGAATTCGGTCCGCATACCTTTGTTCCGCCTCCGACCGCCAAGAAATCATCGACTTCGCCTACGAGAAATGTGCGACCGATCCGTAAGCCGAGGCCGGTAAAGATGACTGCGGGCACTGCTGGCCTGGTTGATGAGGAGGAGACCAGCAGCAGCGATGGGAAGAGCAGGTCGAACTCGGCAGCTGGTGTCGATGAAAGCAATATCAATGGAGCGCCTAGCCCTATGGCCATGGATATCGACGATCCTCCCCCGCCACCTACTCCGGCACACGCTGTTCCTCCTGCTGCGCCGCCCCCGACTCCCGCTCATGGCATTCCCACACACCTGAACGTGAACGGGGCCAGCGCGCGCAATGTCAACTTGGAGCCATCCAAGCCTGAATGGCGCGCCGGCAGCCTCAACAACGGCGTCAAGACATCCAACGGCACCAGCTCTCGCCGCAGCAGCAGCGCTGCCAACACCACCCACCGGCCCATCCCCGTTGCCAACGCCGGCTCCGAGGACAGCGACCTCCGCCCCATTTTCGGGAACTTCGACGTCGATAAACTCGTCAACCCCGGCACAGGTCTCAACTCGTTTTCGGCGGACCTCAAGTCCAACCTCCCCTTCGAATCCAGGGCGTCGGCTAAACTCCCGCCCTTCGAGCGCGAAAAGATCAAGCCGAAGAACATCAACTTCCCCACCCCGCCCAAGGCGCCCAGCCCACCGGCCGCGCTGGCAACCCCTAGTCAGATGACCGCCTCGCAGTGGGTGCTGTACGCCGAACAGTTCAAGTTGTACATCCACCAGTTCAACACCTTCAACGCGCGCGTGGTCGATCACTTCGCCGCCCGCAAGATTAAGAACGAGCAAAAGGGCGCTGCGTGGGTCACCCAGCTGGGCGATAAGGAATTGTTGGAGTATCTGGCATGGATGGAGGAGGACAAGACGGTGATGCAGAAGTGGGCTCAAGCCAGGGAGGCACACGAGTTGAACGTGATGGAGTTCGCGAGGTGGAAGGAGAGGGTGAGGAGCGGTGGTGGTGCTGCTTCCGTGACGGCGGGAGATGGAACGGGAGGTGGGACGTGACTGTATGGCGGTGCCCGTTACAACCGCTTTAACAAGAGAATTGGTTTGGGTACGAGTGGTCGGATGACGAGTGAGGAGTGGGCCAAGGATTTTTGGAGTCAAGGGGTGAGGAAGGGGAGTTGGAGGGAGTGGAAGATGAGAATCGAGAATGAGGGGGAGGTGTTTTGGGTGCGGTATGGGGAGGTGATGAACAAAGTCACGAGCAGGGCTGTCGTGACCGCGATGGTTTATGAGGCTCTTCTCAGACTTGGATTGTTCAGTCAGATTGGCGAGACGGTGTTGAGTCTGATTATGGGGGCGGTGGTTGTGCTGGTTTCGGGGTCTGCGGCGTGGTTTTTATCCGAGTTTGTTGTGGATGACGATGAAAACGGAATCGAACTCTTGGACGAGGAACGAGAAGAGCACGACGACCATGAACAACAACGCCAGCACGAACACCAAGACGATGACGAATCATGGCAGGGGCTGAGTGACCGAGAGGAAGAAGATGCCGACGACGAAGATCAATCCGAACCAGAACCCGAGTTACCATCCTCGTCAGGATCATCAGAATCATCAGAATCATCATCCGAAGACTACGAAGAGCAACAACCCTACTACGAAGGCTCCGACTACGTCTACGAATACGAGTCCGATTACTCCGAATATCAACCGCGCCGACGACGATCACGTAGCCGAGCGCGAGGACGGAGCCAGAGCCATCAAGATGTGGACTTTGAAGTTGAATACCTATCCAGTCTCTCACTCGGTGAAGGCGAACCTGGCGGTGGTAGTGGTGGTGGACCGAGATACGGACAAGAGGGAGGAGAGGGGTATATCTCGAGTTGGTCGGGTTTTTCGGATTAGGTGTTCGGCTTTCCTTCTTCGGCTGCTGCCTACTTTACTGTTAGGCTTGGGATACCAGGCCTGAGATGAGGAAGGGGTGAAACCGTGAAAGGTGTTGTGGTTGAGAAGAGGACTGGAGGGAGGGCCTGGACCTGGACCTGGACCTGAGGGACACAAGACAGCTCAGGCAGGCATCGAAAGCATTGTGTATTTTTTCTTGATACCCGGATTGGAGGTTACGTTACGTATAGCTACGTAGGTATGGCACCACAGAAAGTATGTGGCTGGTTGGCCTTTGTTACCACACTACTCAACTTACATTGCTCTTTTCTTTTTCGGTAATGAGTGAACGGCTGGCTGAACGAATAACGGCTATAGACGAGACGGATGATCTTATGAATAGACATGGTATGATACTTCATAATTGTGTACAAACTGAGTCTGTCTGTTTGATCGAAAATGGAGAGAGAGAGAGAGCTTGAAGTAACCAAAAGCGCCCCGGACAAGATATTGATCACAGCACACCGCACAAATCATGGCTGACAGACAGCTGGAGAGGTAGTGAGTGAGTGACTGGGGTGGGTGAGTGAGTGAGTAACCTTATATGTCAAACTACATAGCTACCAAACAATTTACAAGACGAACGAATTCAACTCGGATCTTTCATGCGTCCTCGTATTGAAGTTATCAAGTCGGACTGATCTTGAATCAGCAGGACATCTTCACTTACAAAGTAATGAGCTCTAGAGCGGCCGCGACAGGTTGAGAGAGTTTATTTTCTTGTAAAACGCGTATACTAATTGGATGGACTACGTACTTATGTACTATGTACGTACTCTATGTACGACCACCAGTTTGTCCCATATAACATTAAGAACTTACGGTAGGTAACTCACTTCCCAGGCACTCTTTCTTTATGAACAACGAATATGCTTGCTCTCTTATGCCTACCTCTTCATGTTCACAAAAAGTGAAAGCGGAACGTCATTATTGATCTAGATAGCTGTTTCCTTGTTTGTTTACAGTCCAATACTGGTTTGTTTGTTTGTTAGCTCGCGACCTCTGGTCAATTTGTCCAGGCGTTTCAACAACAAGTTGATGTGTTTTCTTCGATAAGGGGGGGCTTGAAATTAGCATGAACACGTCAAATCAGATACTGGTAATCTGTTTTTGACTATTATTTATGCATTTTAACGTACCATTGCGGCGTTCAGGATGGGTTGGCATGTGTCTTACTCGGGGTACCGAGCTAACAAACAAACCAGCATTGGACTGTAACTTGATTCGTTATCTCCAAGCAATGTTTGCTCTGACGCTGATGATGTTTGCAAACGCTGTGTCTGATGATCAGACTTGCCCATGACCTGACCATGCCAATCCATGTCCTTGACTCCGTCATGAATCTTCAGCCCTTCTAACACCTGTATGCCATAAATTCATGCAATAAATATAGTTCACGCAATATCCGCTCTATTCTAGCTCACCGTCGTTTTTCGTCACCTTGTTTTTCATTATCCGGTTTTCCCATTCCATTTCTTTCCTTCATTGTCTCATCGTGTTTATTTTCCTTTATGACCAACACCGATGACAACCACATACACTCGTACTTTGGTATATATGTAAATCCCTCCTCCTCCTCGTTCCCTTTCTTTCTTCCGTCCTCTCACCGTCCCCCTCCCCCTCCCCATCTCTTTCAAGCACCTTCACCTCCACCACCTCCACCTCCACCTCCATCCCTCTATTAACCATCGCCCAAAACTATTTAAGTCGTACCTAACAACACCCATCCCCATCGACATCCATGCCGCCCTCGCCTCCATCTTCTCCCAGCGCCGCGACACCAACACCCTCATGTCCTTCGCCCTCAATCTTCTTGCCTCCCTCGTACGTGATTCTCCTCCATCCCGTCAGCAGCTCGGAAGGGTCCTTGATCAGCTCGGTGGTGGGGAAGTAGTGCTCGTTCTTCTTCATGGTGACGACCCAGGGGACCGAGTCGAAGGTCATGCATTTTAGGCGGAAGTCTGTTTATCACCCGTCAGTAAACATTGATAAGGGGGGGGAAATCGAGCGAAGCGAGCGACTGAAAAAAAGGGGGGGTTTGGGGGGTCTCCCCCAACACAAAAAGGAGAAAACTCACAAGTATTATCAGGAATCCCCACCACCGCCTCCAAGAAGCTCTTCAAATCAGGCGTGCGCTTGCCATTAACATGCGTGACAAAATTCGTCGGCGCGAGTCCATACTGATACGCCGGGCTTCCTCTAGTCCTGGCGCTCACATAGACCTCGCTGAAGAGCTTGCTGATCTGCTGCCTGACAGCAAGATGCGGCCTGTGCAGAATAGCGCCGCAGAAGGAAATGGCGTGGTCGGTCTCGGCGTCGTCAGCCGCGACGGTGGGTAGCTTAATGTGCAGCTCCTTGGTGTTGCGGACGATGACGGCGTCGAGGTGGTCGTGCGAGTACATGATGTCCAGCTCCGAGATCTTGGTGATGAGCTGGTTGTTGAGGGTGAGGAGGATGTCGCCTTCCTTGAGCGTGTCGCCTTCGGGCTCGTTGCGCTCGTAGGTGCGCTTGGTTACCAAGAAAAGCTGGTGGTGGGCCGTGTTGGCGAGGGAGACCTTCTGGATCCACTCCTCGGATACGCCCATGATACGGGCCTGCGACATCTGGATGGCGCGGAACTCACAGCTCAACAGGCGCAGCTTGGGGGTGATACCCTGCTGGAGTTGCGAGATGACGGGAAGCAAGGTGGGCGTGGCCAGGCCGAGGTGGTATTCCTCGTCGCGGTGGCTGCTGGGGTTGCGCTCGCCGAGGTAGGTGAGCCAGAGGGCCTGGACGGTGCCGTCTTGAGCGACGAGCACGCCGCTGCCGCACTGGCCCGAGAGGTTGGTGTCGACGGTGATGGCGTCAACATTGACAGCGCGGTATCGAGGCGCTCCGGAATTGGCGGGAATGGTGACGGCGAACATCTCGGTGACGGTGGTGGCAGTGTGGACAATGCGGCCAATGCGGTTGTATCCAATAAAGTAGGTGGACGCGCCTTGGCTGATCATCTCGCTGGACAGCTTGGCGGAACGAACGGGGGCGTCGACAAGCTTGGGGTCGTACTGGATGACGGCGTAGTTCTGGAGCGGGTGCAGGAAAACCACCTTGCCCTCGACGACGATGGAATCGGCGATGGTGATGGTAATGTCGCACAGGTCGTAGGGAACAATAGCCCGGGAAATAATCACCAGGCCCTTCTCAGCGTCGATAACCAAACCCATGCCCCATTTCCTGTTCTTAGGGAAACCATCCAGTTTGACGGGCATGGTGACGCTAACGTGGACGAAACTCTTGACGAGATCGGCGACGGCCGGATGAGAAGTGTTCTCAAGTTGGATGAAGGAAGCTTTCCTGGGAACAGGAGCGACGGCAGGAAGGGCATCGCCGAGGTCGGAAAAGTCCCAGAGACCCGTCTTGTCGTTTCTTACAGCCAGCTTCATCTTCTTGGCCCAGTGGCGGTCGATGTAGATAACGGTGGTGTGTAGTGTATGCATATCCCTCAGATGCTTGTACGTGATAACGACTCTAGACTTGTCGGGAATGCCCTTCATCACCTCGATGAAAGTGTCCAGGTCGGGGGTCTCCTTCTGATCGATGGATTGGATAATCCAGCCGTTCTCGTTGTTGTCGAACCGGAAAGATCCACCGGCCTCACAGACGTAGACACCCTTGCAGGTGACACCGTAAAGGCGGGCCTGCTGGTAGGAGAGGTTATGGAAACTACCGCCAGACACAGACACGAAGCGATCGGGCGTGATCTGGTGCAGGTCGCCAACCTCGATCTCAACCTCGACCTCCTCGCCGCCACGGAGAAGCATAAGCTTGACTGTCTGGCCGACGCTAGAATCGAGAATTTCCTCGAGAGGAATAAACTGGGTAAGAAGCTTGCCGTTGACCTTGATCAAGACATCACCCTCCTCAAGCTTCTTGTGAGAGGGACCCTCGGGAAGAATGATCTCGGCGACCAGCATGTTGGTCTCCTTGGGGAAAGCCTTGCGGACCTGAGCCTCCCAATCGGGGCTAAGGCCCAATCTGCGACACTCGTCAAAGGGCTTCAGCACAAACTGGCACTGGATATCGCCACGGGTGATGGGCTTGCCTTCCTGCAGACACTTGAGGGCCCGAAGCGGCCTATCGAGAGGAAGGAAGTAGTCGGTCGAGGCGCCATCGGCTCTGCCACCCGCCTGCAGGGCCACGGCGAAACCATCCTTGTTGACAACGGGAGAGCCCGAGGAACCACCGCTGGCGGCGGCGCTGGCCTGGTAGTAGCATGTGTTGAAATCGCTATAGCCGTCTCCGTACTCGGGAGCGTTGCGATCCAATCTGCTGATCACGCCAGACAAGATACTGAGCTTTTCTCCGGCATCGTTACCCACAACGCGAATCTCTATGCCGACACGGGCGAGGTCTGGTCGTAGCTGTAGGGCGGCGACGGGCATGTACTTGATGGCCTTGGGATCGAACTTGAGGATGCCGAAGTCGTGGACGGGATCGCGGTAGACGGGGTAGGCATCGACCTCTTCGTGGTTGTCGAAGATGCAGTATCCCCAAAAGGGACCGGAACCAACAACGTGACGGTTGGTCAGGATGTACCCCCTCTCGGCATCTACAACGAAACCGGTGGCCTCGCTTGTAAGGGCCGGGTCGGTATCGAAGGAGCAAGTCTGGCAGAATCGGATAGAGACAACATTTCTGACGACGTTCTCGATGGTAGCCTGCCACTCGGCTGTGTCGGCTCCGGGAGCGAGGGGCAAGACATGGTGGGAGTCCTCCTCGTAGTGGCCGTCGAAGTCTTGGGTAGGGGTGTTGTCGTCGGCAGAAGACATGTCGACATCGGCATTGGTTCGGTGGTGCTTGGCCAGGCGACCGTCTGAGGAGTGTTGGGGAGGCTCCTTGCGCTTGGAGCGAGCGGCGGGGCTTGTGCCGTTCATATTTGCGTAGCTGGAACTGAAGCTGTTTCCGGTTGTTTGACTAAAGGCGCGTGTTGCGGTAGAGGTGAAATGTCTGGCCGTTGAGGTGTCTTTTCTCGTTCGCGTGATCGAGGGGTGGAAGGGTTGTACTTGGTGGACACTGCAGGTAAGGACCGGAAATGTTTGTTGTTGAGACGACGTGGACGTGGACGTGGACGTGGACTGGAGACGCAATTGGTGGAGTAATAGAGGTAGTGCTGTCGAAGCAGTTGTCGTCTTTGGTGTCAAAGATGGTGGTGATAAAGTCGGGATGCGCAGAAGGCGTGGTGGCACTCTGTGGCGGGCAAACAACACTGGCCGCATTCAAAAGGTGTGCAGGAAATGTCGACTGATCTTCTTGTAATCGAAGGCCAGTCTGGTAGAGCGCAAGAGCGGCTTTCTCTTGTCGTCTTTTATCGTGGGTTTGGTGTTGCCCGTTGATTACTTGTAAAGAAGGAAAGAGAAGAAGTAAAGCTTGGACTCTTCCTGGAAAGAAGTCTCAAAGCCAAGAAAGAGACCACGCTCAATTGACTTCGTTTCATGCCAAGACTCGCGCTTGGCTGAGCTAATCAGGCTCGTCCCTGACAAAATTGATGAGACCCAGTTGGCCCGCACGACCCGCAAAAAGTACAGCGTAAGGTCTCATCAATTCTGTCTTGGGCGAGTCAGGTACGTAACCGCTGCCCCTGCCTGTAGCGGAGACCCCTACTTTTGGCATACGTGTTTATGGCTCTCTTCAGCCATATCAGCCTAGTGCTTTAGGACAAGGTCGTAACCCGCTATTGGTCCACTTAACCGAACATGTTGACTTGACGACATCACCACTTTATGTACAGCTTGAACCCTCAATATCTCACAGAGTAGTTCCCGTCCGCATGCCAGCATAATATCAATTTCGATGCATCTAGCCGTTTGCCAACCCAACGCTATCAAGGACATCTTGCAGCCTCTGTTACACAATCCCTTTGGATCCCTTTTGAACAACTTGAGAATGCAGGGGTCCGGATTCCGAATAGTCATGGCTGACCATTGTCTTTGTTTACACCATCTGTTCCTGACAACCTAACAACAACCCTGAAACATGCGTGGCTTTTGACATCTTGGTCAGCTTGCCGAGACATCCCGATTTCTCCTCCCTCTTCCACCGTCCTCCTCCTCTATGTCATCAACCGGTCCCTGCTCTCTCTCAATACGCAGCGGATCTAGCTCCTCTGCATCTCTGACCTCGCCCTCTTTACCATCATCTAGTTGCGGCTGAGCTTCTTGATGGGAACTGGAGCGGGTATACCGGTCAAGTGACTCGCACAAGCGATCCAACACCCATTCCGCTTCAGTAATGTCCGCCAGCAGAGGAGAGTCTTCACTCAACCAGTCCCATGTCATCAGTCCGTCATTTTCTACCTCCTCTTCTGTTTGGGTGAACTGTACCAGCTTGGCGAAGAGCTGCCATTCTTCGTATGAGTATCGCTTGCGAGGGGAGAAGCGGAGGTCATGCGCTATGGATTTGATGGTTTCGGCGAGCAGCGAGGGGAGGTCTTCTTCTTGCTCATTGGGACCCTCGAGTGACCTGGCTAGGTCTGTTGGCTGTTCGGTATTTGCGGCGGCTTGATCTGCGGACTCTTCCGCGTCTTGCTTTTGACGGATTACTCTTTTCAACCAGGGGTGTTTCTGCATGTGTTTGTCCAACACTTCACGTTTTGAAGTAGGCATGATGGTCCAATCTGCTACCTTGAATGCACCACGGTTGACGGCACTGACGATGGTGGACGACATCTCTTGGAAGAGGACGGTGACGATTGGTACGGCAATGAGAGACCAGACGATGAAAAACGGCTTGCCGATGTTGGACTTGGGAGTTATGTCGCCGTATCTGTTCTGGCGGTTAGTCTCGATCAATCTAAGCAGAGACAGAAAAAGAGATACAAACCCAATGGTAAGCAGCCAAACCCAGCAAAAGTACAGCGAGTCAAAGTACGATAGGTTGGATATTCGCGCTTCGGTGAGCATGAAGACGACGGCACCGAACCCCCAGAGGATAGTGAAGGCTAAGAAGGCCATGGCGAGGGCCCAGTATCTGTCGCCATGTCAGTGACCAATACTATGTAAGGGGGCCGGGAAGAGGTAATCTCACTGCTTCCACCGTTTTGTCTCGTCTTGGATCTGCCTCATGGCTTCGAACCGATCCCTATCTTCTTTCAAAAGCAACAGCTTCTGTCTTCTTTCTTTTCTCTTGTCTTGTGCTAAAGTTTTCTCGCCGCTACCTTCTTGAGGATTCCCCTCGACCCCTTTTCCCTTCTCATTCCCAAAGTCAAACTTCAGCATCTTCTGCCTAGCCTCCTCTTCTTTGGTTCTGTTCTGCCTCTCATTTTCTCCCACTTTTGCGTCAGCAGCCCCCTCGACCAAATGGCCCTCACTTGCACCATCAGGCACAGCCCGAGAATGCCGCCTAAAAGTGACCAACGTGCCCGCAACCTCCAATCGACCATACTGCGCCAGCGACGACCTTCTCGCACTGAACGCCCGCCTCCCTTCACTCTCCCCTCTTGCGTCGCTCGCCCCCCTCTTTGGCGGCAACCCCAGTTTTTCTCTCAGCTCGTTCTCGTTCGTCACGGACATGCCAACCGTCGACCTTCTCGAATGTTCCTGATGCCGCTTGATGATCTTGTCGGCCGAGATATTGGCGGCGAAGCGGCTGATGCTGGAGATGACGAGACCGAGGAACAGAAGACCGAAGGTTTGGAAAGGTACGAGGAAGGCCCTGCCTGCGGTTGTAGCGGGTGCAAAGTCGCCAAAGCCGATGGTTAAGATTGTCTTTTCACTGTCAGCGTTCAGAGAAACAGAACACGGAGACCCTCGAGAACTACGGAGTCGCCGCGCCGAAGCGCATCACTTCAAGCACAGCCCTGCTCAGTTCAGGAAGAAAGCAACTACCAAAAAAAAATGAAAACAATGAAAACCGGAAAAAAAAAAAAAAATTTGCTGGTGGTCATGATACCCCAAGATCATCATCCCTGAAAGGTATCCCCTCATGTTCGGTCACAGCTCGACCTCGTATGCCCAGGTGGAAGACAAGGTTATGACCATATAGATCATAGGGGGGCCTGAGCAGAATGTTGTGTCGAAAGCTGCCGCCACGGGAATCGAACCCGTTGCCTTTTGAGCGGGTCTAGGATAGGAGGTGTGCTGTGCGCAACACCACCTGCCGCTCGACCAACCAGCCGGTTTGTGTTGGGAACTGGGACTGGACAAAGGGGTTATATGGGGCGGGATGGGACGGAGGATAATGGTGCCTTGGTGCCTTGTGTGCTTTTGGGAGGAAGGTATGGGTGAAGGCCTGGGGGCAAACGTGCTTTCATCTGATGTTCGGATGTTGGGCCTGAGGCTCCCCTCGTACCGAACTTCGAGGTGACGAAGGAAAAGTGACGAGATCAAGAACGGGATTTGGCAATTGAGGTACATGGGAGAAGGCTGGAAAGGACTTACGACATCACAATAATACAATCCATCACAAAAGCCCCCAGGCCAGTCTTCCAACCAGGCAAAGACTGCCCCTCCGCCCGCCAACCACACGAAGAAAAGCATGGTCTGCAAGATCAGCGTCCTTTGGTCGTCGTCGAGGTCGAACTGTTGCGGGTAATACCCCCTCAGATATCCCAACATATTGATAGCCAACAGAACCGCCCCCAGAGCATAGAAGAATGCTGAAAAGATGGCATGGTAATACCCCTGGGAATATATCTCGGGCCAAACCGGCGGCGAATGGATATGCATTGCCAACAGAATCGCGACCAACTGCTTCTGTTAGCCACCTCCTTACCTCGTCTCGCTCATCCAATCAAAGAAGAAGACTCACAATGCCCGAACTAACCATCCACGCTCCCACCGCCGCCGGTATAGCAACCACATATCTCACCCTCCCCGTGAAATTCAGCAACAAAAAGAAATTACCCGCAAACCCACAGATAAGTGACACAATGTTGGCGTTGATCTCCCACTTCGGATCCGGGATACCGATCCCATTGTCATCTTTGCCCTCGGGTAAGATGCCGGAGTTGGGAAGAGTCACTTTCCAGGTGGTTACGAGAGAGGCGATGGATAGCACATGCGAGAGCGGACCGATGGTGGCGACAAGGAGAGGGATGGCGGTCGAGGCGGGCCACCATTTTCTGTGAGGGGTTAGAGGGGGTGTTAGTTGGGCTGGTATGGATGGGGAATAGGGTGAAAGAGGGGAAAGGGAGAGTGGATTACTGAGGCAGATTGTCATTTCGACCGCGGAGTTTGATGTGCCCGTTGAAGAGAGTTCGGATTCCATTGTTTGGTGGTGGCTCTTGGGAGGAAGAGGTCAGATTGGGCCGTGGCCTTGATTGGACGGGGTCGGAGAAGGTGAAGATTGATGTTGGGCGGTCCGAGTTTAGACGACCTCCTCTTCCAGCACCGGGCGGGGATGATTGTTGCCCCATGTTTGACTCGCTCGTGGTTGTGCGACTTCTAGGGTCCAATGTGAGGAGGGGATGCAGGGAAGACACTCCAAACGCAAGAGTCACAGTCGAAGCAGACTGGGCTTTTGGTCTTGGGAGCGACAAGATTAGGGAGTCAGGAAGGGAAGAGAACGAGATATACCTCCAGGATTATACGTATTCCATCGGAATGCTCGACAGGTCAGCATTGACTAAGTCGATGACGGCCAGTCTCAGCAACTTGCCATGATCGTCATCACCAACAACAGCGCGATTGTGTGGAGCGCTACAAGAGGTCTCAGTCCCGGAGGGCACTCGACATTTGGGACGCCATTTATGATCGCGAAGGAAAAAGTTGTGTCGTTACCCGGGACTTTTGGCATGGTCTTGGGTTTGTGGCATGTTGCCTTCGATCTTGCCATACCTCGAGTTGAAGCTTCCATTTCGCTTTCAGGCACCATGTCTCCCCAAGTTCCTTCCTAAACTAACCATCATAACTCGGTACCAAATCTGAAACGAGCAAAAATTTCCGGAAATATGTCTCTGATAGTTCCTTCCTCACTACCTCTCATCTCGGTCAACAACACTCATCTGACCAAGTCTCCCCCATCCAACCTCGGAGGTCCGCATACCGTAGATACTCGCGAATCATTTGCCAAATGCTACCCCTCTTTGAGCGCAGGGCATCTGGCAGAAATCTGCCAGAAATACGCCCCGTAAGCACGCATATACCAGCATATGTATCTGTCCAGTTAGTGAAAACCTCGAGGATATTGCCCACCACGTTAACTTACACACATTAAAATGCACAGGGCCCGGCCTTGTCCTGCCAGATTCCTGCACAGATCTGCCCTCTGTCCGGCGCGTTGGCCAGCACCTTCCGTCTTATTTCACCACTCCAGTCCCTGTCTTCATTCATGTCCGTGTTTCGAGATGTCGTCCTACTCGCCGAGCTCGCTTACCAAAAGTATCCGGATTCACATAAAAAGTCTACCAGCTGCAAACCTCAAAGGTTCCCTCGCTGCCCTTTGCCAAAACCTCGACCGATCAGCAACCAACCTTCAGTCCTGGATGCTGAAGAGTGACAGCATGACCAATAAACCATGATTCGACGCAATCTTGAGAAAATGTGTCGGCAACATGTCGGCGCCGCTAAGGGCACCAGTTGCCAACTGTCAACACTACATCGCTGCACATGAACGCGGCCGAAACCAGCTTCAAACTACCACTTGCATGTGCCAGTTGATTAACATAATTAGAGCAGTCAACCTGGTTCATATTCTGCTTTTCGCCTCAACTTTTTGTCTCTCTCTCTCTTCTCAACCCTCCATCAAACCACCCAATCCTATATCACAGTCATTGAAACAATAGAGGTCCTCTCTCCCAAACGACAACTCACAATGTCTTCCACACCACCCAGGCCGGCGGGATTCTACTATGACCCCTGGGGTTACATCCGACCACGTCGTTATTTTGACCACGAGGGCCGTCCCCTGCCCAAAAACACCAAGGAGACATCCTATGCTCCCATCCCATCGTGGTCACCGTCCAACCCTACTTTCACCAAACCACCACACCATCATCCAGCACTGGGGAGAAAGGAGCAGCATTCTTTGCGTTGGTGGTTGCTTCGGGAAAAGGCGAAAAAGGCATGCACCCACGCCATTCAGTTGGCCCACTTGGTAGAGCAGCTACAGAAGATGGTCAATATGCATTCCGCAAGTCAGCAGTCAACCAAATCGGTGGAGCCGCCCAAGGATCAACCAAGTGGCAATCGGCAGAGGGCGACGATGATGGTGAGGGAGTGGTTGGAACATGGGAGAGTGTTGGGGCCGGAAGAGGATGCGAATGGGACTGCTTCACCTCCAGAACCGCCGCGATGCCGAGGCCGAGGCCGGAGATTGAGATCGAGATCAACCTCGCCACCGGTGTGGAACTCATCACCTCCTCCAGACCTTCCGAAAACTCGAAAAGTAGAATTCAAGGTCGAGATCCATTTCCAGAAGGTTCAACGATTTGTTGTGTGGTGACCGTGGACGACGGAAGTAGACCACGGGAGGAGAAGGGTCTTGTCTTCCTTCCTTCCGCTTTTGTGAAAGGGGCGAAGCTCCGCCAGGCCGCGAATTGCGCCCGTTCCGTTCTTGTCGGCACACCCGAGCCCGACCGACCGAAGCTCCAAACGATCCATCCGCCATTGGAAATGGTGGGGCAGGCAGTTCGCACGCTGGGTCAGCCTGAACCCCACGGGCGGTGAGCAGGGTGACGGTGATGGGAGGACCAGGGCAGCATTGTAGGGGATAGTTTTGGTCAAGCTGGAGGGATTACTTAGTCGATGAGATGAGACTATGGAAGGATATGAAGCGGCGAGTCGTCGTTATCGCAGAGCATAGCGCATACTCCCAGGGTACAAACTGTTCTTAGGACTCTGTACTCGGAGGCTAGACACTATATGTCAAGGTTGGTTGTATATTGTTGTTCATCTTGTACATTGAAGCCTCTACGTGATGAGGACAGGAAAGAATAGTTGTAGTGGTATCAAATCTTGTCTTTTCGTGATCTTCTTGTTTATATAATCATCATCTTGTCCTCTAACCTTTGACTCCCTGCTTGCTCGCTCCAGTGGTGGCTCGCTCGCTCGCTCGCTAACAATGCTGTCATCATCCATCCTTCTATAGTCATACAAATGGTATACTTTCATCTCCCATCTCGCTTCATACATAATCATAGACGTCTTTCTCCAGCTGATATCATTCCCGATCCTTCATAACCCCCCAACACACCGGCTCAGTGCGCCTTCTCCTTCTCCTTCTTGGTATCATCCACCGTCGGCGCATTCACCCTAACCTCCGCCCCAATCTCCCTATTCTTCTTCTCCACCGCCGTCTCAACCTGCCAAATCGCTCTCTCCAACTCCACCTCCAGCTCCGGCACCTCCAGCAACTTAACCATCCTCTTGCCATTCTCCTGGCTCAGCAACAAAACTTCACCATCTTCCACCTCTCCTTCCTCCAGGACATGACCCATGTTCACCCCACCAGTCTTTTCCGTGGTATTGATGTTTCCATTAACCGCCTTGATAACCTTTACCGGATCCGGGTGCCTAACCGTTTCCGCTTCGGGGCCGGTGGTCGGCTCGGGAGTGAAAGGGAGCGGGAAGCGCTGGGTGGAGTAGATCTCGTCGAGGATGGGCGAGGGATGGAAGGATAGGAGGCGCGAGGGGTGTTGGAGGAGGTAGGATAGGTGTTTGCCGCCGGAGAGGGCGCGGTGGTGGGACCAGGCGCGGTAGCAGAGGTAGAAGAAGGGGAGGTTTGGGACTCTGTTGGTAGAAGGGGTGTTAGTAACTGTTCAGAGGAGAAAAGAATGGGAAAAGAGGAAAGGGTTGGGGTGGGAAAAGAACGTACAAAGGTAGGATACCAATAGGAATAGTAACCGGCATCCCCGCCACACACCACCAGAACAACTTCTTATGATGACCCTCCCTCTCCGTCGCAAGCTTGTGCAATATCCTCGGCACTCTCTCGGCAGTGATCAGTCCAGCTGGGTACACCACCTCTACTTTGCCGATATCCAGTTTCCCCCTCTTGCCTCCCTTCTCCGCTGATTCCATCTCAAAATTTCCCTGCGCCTGCGCCTGTTCCTGTAAGAAGGCCTCAAGCTGTCGTTGCCGCGCCTTCGTCAAAGGTGGCACACTCTTCAGCGCCCATTCTTCGTACGGCAGCTTCCTAAGCAAGTGGTTGCCGTAACCGACGACGGACTTTTGCCAGCCGGATTCCTTCTTCTCCCAGGACGCCCAGGTTAGGGCCGCTTTGGTTTGGATGTAATCGCCCCATGATTGTTTCTGTTTTGTTGTAGTAGATGTAGACGGAGACGAGGAGGAGCCGGGGATAATGGCGGCCGCTGAGGCAGATGGGGGTTGGAGCTTTTGGCAGTAGAGAAGGGTGCGCCGGGTGGAGATTGGGAGGAGGTAGAGGCGCATTTTGAAGGTGGTGGTGGCGCGTTACGGCGCGCGAGGTGGTGGTGAGAGAGGTGGTGGTCGAGTAGGTAGTCGGCGCGGAGTTGGTGATGGTTGTTTCGGTTTCGAAATATGCACAAAGACGGCGGGTTTTGTAGTTTGCGACTATGACTCTGTCGCCACCGCGTCGCAAGCGTCGCAATCGTGAGGCCTCTCTTTTCGGGCGCAGCAGCTTCGAAGGCAAATTGAAGGTAGAACTGGCTGTGAAGTGGGATCCAATGGCCGGGATATCGATGGATATAAAGTGATGCCTGGTCCCAACAAAAAACCGAGGGCGCTATAATGGTGAAACTTGCGATAGCGAACGGAAACAAATTGTGAGAAGAAGTTGGCGGCCTGCAAAAGTGCTTATCGTCATGTTCCTGGATTGGGTTACACTGGATTTCGGGGCTGTGATTTTTCGTTGGATGGTTGTGAAGCTAGCGCGGGAAAGAAACAGTGACGCAATGGAGGCCCGGCAGGCAGAATTTCAGGCCGGCGGGATGGGCCTAGGCTGCCTAGAACCCGACCCACCGGCCCGACAGCGAGAGGACGGCCCGTCCGAGTGTCAGGAATGTGATTCACCCGACCAACCTTATCGAAGTGTTAGGTTTGTTTTGTTGTTTCCTATTTGGTCAGTCTAAATGGGAGTTCCATATGTATATCGCAATGTCCCTGTTCAAGCTGGATCCCAGTCTCTTGCCGAGTGTCACACGGCAACGGTAACGGTCATCTCCAGACAATCGCTGCCCTTGGCTAAAGCTTCTATAAAAAAAAGGTAGCAAAGCCAAGGTCACTCTGATATTTCATGCATGAGGGTATTCCCAGATGCCTGCTGCTGCACGACACGTCGCCTCGGGCCCTCGGCAGATAACCGGGAAATGCCCTGGGAAACGGGAAACGGGCCCCTCCACCCCGGTTTTTGTCCCCTGAACCAGTGTCGTCATTGCTGTTCCTGAGCGGCTCGCTAGTGGGGCAGCAGGGAATAGCCAGGCAGTCCAGGCCGGCCGGTGTTTGTTAAGGGCGTCAAGGCCCCGTTAAGGCACTGGGCTCGTGCTTATGGCAACATGGAACCATCGGCTTCTGGGCGTCACCCCGTCACCTCCAGCAGCCGCCGGACCAGGGACAAGGGGGGGCAGCCCCTGGGAGGCAGGGAGACAGGGAGATTGGATCAGCTAACAAACCTGTAAAGAGACGTCGTTTCCCCAGCCATTTCCACCTCACCTTTTCAACAACTTTCCATTTCTTCTTCATCCGTGCTCTTCCTGTGCCCTTTTCCCATCTCGTTGGGACGATAAGGAAGGACGGGACCGCTCACCTCTTGTGCGATCGCATTGAGGTTGACGCCGCGACAACCTTAACACCCAACCCACGAGACCTGACTTCCAGTGTCCGAATGCCGACGCGTAGCCGACGCCTCTAGAGCTTCAATCTAACATCAATCGCTAAACCACACCGCTATGCACTGTCACTGGCACTGCCGCCTTCATCCAACGCCAACACATCGTCCTCCAGCTCCTCCTCGCCTATTAGAGTCCCCGTTACTCTCCAATAGCTGATAGTCATCGATTCTCTGCTCATCCGAGAGACGAACATCTTCTCGCCAATCCTCTGATGCGCGGCTGCTACTGCTGCTGCCGCTGCCCGAGCACTCCGATTACCTGAGTGCCCTGCTGTGGTGCAGTAACTTGACCCACTCCACTTCCCGTTGCTGTGACTACCTACAAGTACCTCTACGGCCGATCTCCCGAGCTACCGATTACAACGTCAACACTACTACGACTATCCATTACAACTGGAACATCCGAGAGCCCGTTTCAAGCCGCCGGCTCGGCAAACAACAAACAAAGTGGTGTCTAGTGCCAGCATGACGGCCGCGGATCCGTCTCCTCCACGCTCGAACCAGTCCACTCCTTCTCCCGATAACAACGATGGTGACACATTGCTTCCTCCTTTGCGTCCCAAGCCAAGGACGTTGCCTCGTATGACCACCTTTCTCACAATAATGAACCAGAATATATGTTCCGAATTCTAACTCGTGTCATCTAGCATGGATCGATTCGTATGAAGAGAGATATGGACAACCGCCCACCGGCCAGGCTGGAATCTTGAACCGACCACCCCCACGCACAGTACAGCCGCAACACAACAGCACGCCAGCCGAACCAAAAAGGGTATCAAAAGATGGATTTGTGTACGAACCAGACGGGCTGGAGCGGAGGAACGGTTCCAAGATCAAGTTACGACGGATTCTAAGACTCGGGGACGGCACGGAGCGCGGCCGAAAATGGGACCACCTCCGGACTGCCGAACCCGTCATTCTCCACCGGCATGCGCACTACACGTCCAACTCGCCCTGGTCCGACTTTATCCACTCGTCACAGTGGGGCCACATGCCGAATGAGCACTCGGAAGTGGTCGACTACCAAACACTCGAGAAGCTACAACCAAACTTGAATTTACCCGTGAACCTGCCCGTAGCCGATGACGCCAACAAGTCCCGTACCGGAAGGAGGTCGGCCTTGTACAAGCGACTATGGCAGCACGTCCTCCGCCATCCCTTGGTGCCCTTACTCTTCCGGTCCCTAGTCCTCATCACCTCCATCTGTGCCCTCGCCCTTGCCATTCGCATCTTCCGGCTCGAAGGCCAGCGGCGCTTTTACCAGCAAGATCTACAGAATCAGATTCTCGCTAAATTACGAGCACTGCATGCAGCCCCCAGTTCCGAAAAATACGTCGACCAAGAGCTTAACCTGATAAGACAGATCTCGCGCGGGTCGTCAGAACGGACCCAAGCGATAGTAGCGATTGTGGTGGACACCATAGCGATTCCTTACACGGGGTACATGCTCTGGGACGAATACACGGGTCGCCCATTGGGGCTCAGGCCGGTCACGCAAAAGAGCGGGTTGGTGCTGATGGATGTCTTTTTCATCGTGTTCAAGGCGGCCAGCACGGCGTTGGCGTTCGAGGTGCTGGTCTATCATAACAGTCAAGATCGCTTAAGGGACCATTTCAGCCAGGCACTGGCCGGGTTTCAGCTGGTCGGGCTGATGGGCTGGTTGACCAACTTTACGGTGAATGTGTTTAGGTTGATAGTGAAGCTGGGAGGCGGAGATGATTTGGAGAATCAGAGGGGGAGGTGATGACGGTTATCATGGGCGGTAAGAGGAAAAAAAGCTGGGGAGGTGAATAACGACAAACATCTCAAACTCGCATGGTGGCATACACGTTTCTGCCTCTTTTCTTGGTAGGGTTTTTGAATTAGCATATTAGCATAAAGCGATAGCGAATAGTCTTTTAATAAGTTGGCAATTGTCGGGGGTTGTGAGTAGTGTTGGTAACGGAATGTTGGTAATGTTGATATTAACAAGGAATACCTACTAGGAATAATGATGATGGTAATGTTTATTGCTCGATTATGGACTACAGGTAGGTATAGGAGACATAAAAGGGGGTACGGATAGTGAAATATTTAGGGAGATATCATGTTGCCTGCCGTGAGCTGACTGCGGAAAGATACATGCACTTAATCAAATGATGACCATAGAGGTAAGTGGTGTCATGATCTAACAACAACGGTTAACTGGGTTGTAAACGGCTTATCAGCTGCTCCGTTGTCATTGTCCTTCTTTCCCGTTCTTTGAACGCGTGAAGAACCCCATTCAGTTGTACATATGTGCTATTGTTCACCTTAAGGAAGGAACATGGCATATTATCAATATACTGTACGTACTTGTGCCAAATCTGTTAGCCGCCACTGTTAGTGACGGGCCGGGATGTGGATGGTCGCCCGTTCCCGCATCGCATCGTTTGAGGTTCCCCGCCACTTTGTGGTTTCCCCACAAATTTGCGGTTCGCCGTGGTCTTTCACTGGCGGGGCCCGGGACACTTGCTCTGGAGCCTAGCGCAGCTTGAGCCTGCCTGCCTGTCTGGGTGTCCGGGTCTGCTGTCAGTGTCAATCGATGCCTGCCACGCTGCAGCCTGAAAACCGTCCACGACGGCATCGCTCTATCATCGACCACGGCAGCAGCTTCGGGGGCAACCTGGAACTGGAAACTTTCACTCTTCAATTTCAGTTTTCATTACACCACACAATATCCGATTAACCCGTCTGCTCCGTCACGGTCCCCTCCCGCCACCATCCGCAATCTTTCTCCCAGCAACACCCACCGACGGTGACCCATCCAACCTTCCAGACCTTTGCGCGCCCCATCGCTCGGGACGAGGTTCTACTCCTCTGGCTGCCCTTCGTCACCGGTCGCAGCCAACGCGCTTCCAACCATAAGAACGACCGGTCGCTAAGATCAAACTCGTTCTTGCCCCCGACAGCCTCTGGACAGACACGACCTGGTCAGCTCTAGTTCTCTGACGGATTGCGCCCCTCGACGTCAACAGTTGGACTGCCAACATCGCATTCTTTCTTCGATTCCCGGCGAACTATCGCTCTTCAAACGACACACAAACAAACACACCAACATGCCTCCGATGATGGGGATGTACGGGCAGCAGCCTTCTGGCAGTGATGGTATCGACAGCACGTATGTTTTCGCTCTCTCGCTGTCCCCAACCGCCGTACTGACCCTTTGCCATCAGTTGGCCATACTTGCAGTCCAGCATCAACAAGATCATGATGAACCTCCAAGAAGGTCTCGACATGTCTAGTGTATGTTTGTTCCCCGCCCATCCGTCTACGTTAACTTCCGCTAACACACGCCGTTTGTAGTACATGGGAATCTACACGTTAGTTCGACTGATGCCGTATCTCTATACACCCTTCAACATGGTACTAACTGCGGCATAGGGCGGTTCACAACTTCTGCACATCGCAGAAGGCTAGCGGCGGTAGCAGCAGTCCGAGTAATCACCTTCCGGGAATAGGGGCGCAAAGGGGCGGTATGTTGTCTTCCCTGATTAGAAAGAGAACAGGACTAACATGTATCAGCACATCTGCTTGGTGAGGACCTGTATAAGAAGTTGGCTAATTACCTGACCGATCATCTTAAGGACCTGGTCGCCGAAGCGGAGGCTCACAAGGACGAGGCCTTGTTGGCCTTTTACATTCGCGAATGGCAACGCTACACCAACGCGGCCAAGTACATCCACCATCTCTTCAAGTACCTAAACCGACACTGGGTCAAGCGCGAGATGGACGAAGGGAAGAAGAACATCTACGACGTGTACACTCTCCACCTTGTCCAGTGGCGTGACGTGTTGTTCCAGGCTGTCTCTAAGAAAGTCATGGACGCCGTCCTCAAACTAGTGGAAAGGCAACGCCTCGGTGAAACCATCGAGTACACCCAGATCAAACAGGTGGTCGACAGCTTCGTCTCACTCGGCATGGATGAGGGCGACAATACCAAGACCACGCTGGAAGTGTACAGATACCACTTCGAAAAGCCATTCCTGGAGGCGACCAAGGTCTTCTACCAAAACGAAAGCAAACAATTTGTGGCCGAGAACAGCGTTGTCGAGTACATGAAGAAGGCCGAGGCTCGCCTGGCTGAGGAGGAGGAGCGCGTACGCATGTATCTTCATCCGGATATTGCCCTGCCTCTGAAGAAGGCTTGCAACCAGGCCCTCATCGCCGAGCACTCTACCCTGTTGCGTGACGAGTTCCAGGTACTGCTGGATAACAACCGAGAGGATGATATGCGGCGCATGTACAGCCTGTTGTCCCGTATTCCCGATGGTCTTGAGCCTCTGCGGACTCGTTTCGAGGCTCATGTTCGCAAGGCTGGTTTGGCGGCTGTCGCCAAGGTGGCTGCAGACGCCGACAAACTGGAACCCAAGGTCTACGTCGACGCTCTGCTGGAGATTCACACTCAGTACCAGGGGCTGGTTGAGCGCGCTTTCAACAAGGAGCCCGATTTCACAAGATCCTTAGATAATGCCTGCAAGGAATTCGTGAACAGGAACGAGGTCTGTAAATCGGGCTCCAACAAGTCGCCGGAATTGCTGGCCAAGTACACCGATGTGCTTCTCCGCAAGAGCAGCACCGGCGTGGAGGAGGCGGAGCTCGAGAACACGCTGACACAGATCATGACTGTGTTCAAGTACATCCAGGACAAGGATGTGTTCCAGAAGTTCTACTCACGTATGCTGGCGCGCCGCCTCGTACACAGCAACTCCAACTCGGACGACGCCGAGACCTCCATGATCTCCAAGCTCAAGGAGGCCTGCGGCTTCGAATATACTAACAAGTTGCAACGCATGTTCCAGGACATGCAGATCTCCAAGGACCTCAACGCAGGCTTCAAGGAGCACGTCGCCTCCCTCAACGTGGACGGCAAGCCGCTCGACTCGACGTACGCCATCCTCGGCACCGGTTTCTGGCCGCTCGTCCCCCCAAACACCAGCTTTGTTGCGCCCGCCGAGATCTCGGCCGACTGCGATCGGTTCACCCGCTTTTACAAGAACAAGCACGAAGGCCGCAAGCTTACTTGGCTGTGGCAGCTGTGCAAGGGCGACATCAAGGCCAACTACATGAAGGGTGCCAAGATGCCTTATATCTTCAATGTGTCGGCGTACCAGATGGCCATTCTGCTGCTCTTCAACGAGAAGGACCAGCACACGTACGAGGAGATTGCGAGCATCACTCAACTCAACGCGGATGTGCTCGATGGTGCTTTAGGCATATTGGTCAAGGCCAAGGTTCTTACCGCTGAGGGTGGAGAGGGTGGAAAGGTTGGACCGGGAGCGACGCTTTCGCTCAACTACGACTTCAAGAACAAGAAGTATCGGATTAATTTGAATGTGGGCATGAAGAGTGAGACTAAGCAAGAGGAGGCGGAGACGAACAAGACGATTGAGGAGGATCGGAAGTTGCTGTTGCAGGTAAGTTGCTCCTTTTCCACTAATATTATGCAAGAGGGATGGTTACTGACAAAGAGATAAATAGTCCGCCATCGTCCGTATCATGAAGGCCCGCAAGAAGATGAAGCACCAACAGTTGGTCTCTGAAACCATCAACCAGATTAGGGCCCGGTTTATGCCTAAGATCGGCGACATCAAGAAGTGCATCGAAATCTTGCTCGATAAGGAGTACCTGGAACGGTTGGAGGATGATGAGCTTGGGTATCTTGCTTAAGTGTGTATCTCTGCTCTGGTGGGGTGACCAACTACGAACGATAGAGTGGGAGAGTGCAAGGTTAGGTTATCAGCATAAGAGGAAAAGTTGAGAGCAAACAAATCAAAGAAGCGAGAGATCATAAATTAGTCATGATACAATCAGCGTGCCTTGTTTGTGGTGGGTTGGTATCAATGGGATTGACACAAGCGAGGGAGGGTGTCGGTTCGGAAGTCCGGAGGGTTAAGGTGAGGAGGGAACTTGAAGAATAGAGGATAGCAGAAAGGTACCTAGCAGAGAGAGAGGAAAAGAAGAGTTGATGACGAATACCATTCATAACACAACACATCACATACTATACCCGACCCGTCCTCGGCCCCTGGATATCGGTCGGGGGTTGTTCTTGATTTGATAGAGAGAGAGGTGATTCAGTTGCATGTGATTTGATAAAGTCAAGGTAAACCGAGAATATACACACTCAACAAAACATGGGAACATTCCCTATTAACATTAACGCATACCAACCACCCTTGGAAACTTACTATAATTCGTACACTAGTATTGTTGACTTCCATTGTTACCTATGTAGTCTGCCACCAACATGTATTAGCATAGCGAACTCGATTTTCCCCCATCATATATCTACCTCAGGTAGGTAGCTGAGAGCGAAAGCAGACCTATTGATGGAATGTCATCATCATATACATATATAGAATCCTTTAGTAGTGTAGTGGAAACTACGAGTTCTCTCGGTCCCAACCATCCATGGGCTTATATATGCCCGACCGTTGAAACCGTTGGGAATCGAAAGCCCGAACAACTTAACAAGGGGCGTCGGGACTGTGACCAGATCACGACGCACGCTTGTCGTATACATAGTACAGCGAGGAGGCGATCCTACTTACTGCCTGCTATCTATCTCCTGTCTGAGTACCTTGAAGCAATAAGCGAGAGATGTGTGTCATGTGATGTGTTGATGAAGGCCATGATGATCTACGATGGTGATATTGGAGTAAAGCTTGATTAGTAGTTGCAGGCGAGTCATTGTGCGTTTGGCACAGTGTATATAGTCTTTGGTCTCCTTGACCGTGTTAGATTTGTAGACCAGCGGTTATTGTTGGTCGGGTAGATGTGAGCCAGTGTGTAGTTGGCTCGGTAGATGGTAGCTTGGTCCACTGATGGGTTTTGGAGCATGGGTTAGCGAGAGTATCGTGGAGAAAAAGTTGGATGGTTGAAGTTTTGTGATAGGTGATCGAGTAGATGGGCATGAACTGTTACGCATTTTGGAATCTGTCGAGTGTCGAGAAATAAGTTCGGTGTAGTTTACTGTGTTGGTTGTCGAACGTTATAAGACTAACGTGCTTTGGCATCCTGATTTGGCTGTTAGTGGAGGAGTGAGAGCAGGCAGACAAGGGTCATACGAACCTTAACCAAGCATTTGGGACCGGATTACTGATCACTCATCAACAACCCTTGGCTCTTCCCTATTCTGTCTTTCCCCATCCATGACCAGTAACTGATCATTCCAGTAAACATTCACCGGCCAAGTAACAATGATGATACCGGTCTGGTTAAGCGTATCCAAGCAAATGTTAGCTTCTTCTTTGACCCTTGTTGGCCTCAAGTTCAAGGGGAGAGATTCCTGCTTAATCAAGATTTACGGACGTTGAGTTTGCAGACTATACCGTGTGAGCTGTAAGGATTTTGTTCGACCGTTAGTACACTAGTTTGTGACTGGAAATTCGTAAACCCCTGATTTAAACGTTTTCTGAAAAAAAAAAAAAAAAAAAAGTCGAGTTCAGTAGCCGTGTTAACCCCCAATAGCATGTCTAACGGCAGACATATGTGTGAAGTGTGACCTTGACTCGTTTCGTACGCCGAGCAATGACCATGCGTTCCGCAAAAAGAGCGGAATCGAACCGGATGAGAAAGCGAGAGAAAGGGCCGAGTGGCGCAACCGCCAACCGTGAACCGTCCAGAACCGCCAACGGCGCGTCTGTGTGGTGTGTGTGCCGCGTGTGTGTGACCACAAGCCATCGGAAAACAATCCGAACGCACAACTGCAGGGAGAGAAACGTTCTTGTCTGCCATACGGTGCGGTGTACCTAGGTAGGTATGGCTTCTGCCGGTCTTTGCTCGGAAGGGATTCCGGTTGATACCGGTTGAAAGATGCTCTTTGAGCAGTTGAATGATTTTTGACCAATATCTGAACAGAAACGATTAAGTCCCTTAGTGACTTGAAACTGTCGAGAGTCTCCGGAAATCTGGAAGAACTCGGTTTCGCCTGGCAGGGCGCGGAAGAGCGGAAGAGCGGAAGGGTACGTAGTTAATCTCCTCGGATAGTCTGAATGCAGTTAGACAGGCCAAGCAAGCAATCAGGGTCTTGATGCCTCGTTTTCCCGGACTTGGTGAAGAGACTCAGGGGGGGATATGCAAGGAACACCAGAGATGCCAGGAACCAAAAGCCAAAAAATTGACAAGTGATCGATTTTAGCTACACTGTAGCGTGACCAGTCTCAAGCCAGTCTAGCGTGTCCAGCTGTTTTTGTACAAATAGTTGAATGGAGTGTGTGATGTACTGTGACAGATGTACGAATAACGCACGATTGTTTTATGTTTGCAAGTAGGTATGTAAACGCAGAACAGCAGATCGTAAAACAGAACCGCTAAAAAGGGTTTTCCACTTTCTTCGTGAATTTGGTGAAGCCGACAGTTGGATGGGAGTCCAGACCACTTTCCGCAAATGGCCATGTTTGGTACATATAGAGATCGCCATTCAGTACCGTAGTGCAGTAAACGCCGGGGAAAACCACCTGGACCTTAACAATGGCATTATGAATCTGGGATCGTACGATGGAATCTCGGTCTGTTCTGACTTCTGTCTAGCTTGGGAGATCCCAAAGGTCCCCGTCCCCAGTCAAGAGAAGGTATTCGCTGAAGAGTTACGTACCCATCCAAAGCCCCTGGCTCATTCATCACCAAACATAATGCCCCCCTGCTATTAATACCCAGGTTGCCCTAGCTTTTAGATACCAAATGACGGAAGTTCCCCGGAGACACGTGGTGATAGCTTGGCTGTGTCGGGGGTCCTGGGGTCGGGGATCTGGTAGAGTTGGATGATGATCTAAGGGTCCCATGAGTGATGGGTTGTGATGAGTGAGATGGATGTCAGGCTGATGGGTATGATGGGTAGTGCATGTATTTGTCTGGATGGACATTCTGTTGAAAAAAGATCGCCATCACGATCTCCGAAGTTCGATGTCCCGGTAGTGTCGTTGGTGCTATTCTTGTCTGCATAAAGAGATGGGCAGGATGAGTGTTTGAGATGCTGAGCAGCCAGTGTTTGGTCTCATAATGTGCCCCCTTTGTCTCTGTTGAACATGTCTTGACAATGGAAACACGTGGAATGGTCACGGTAATTACAGGTTGGTGCGACAGTGAGTTGAGTGGCCGAGTACTGTGTTGCTGTTAATCCAAGATGTTTCCTCTTTTGAGAAAACGTTCGAATGCGACCTTGCGCGTACTCGGGACGTCTTGACTAATTAGTACTAGTCTAATACTACTATGAGACTAGACTGATACTAATCCCAACTCTGAATAGTGAGGGTGTCGATTATCCAGACGATATCTTGGCGCCAAGTCCTGCGTCTATCCCAAAGTCACTTTGGTTCGAGGCTTTCGCGGAAAGGTACATGAGTTCTTATCGTCTGGATAATCGTTTACGCCGATGTGAGAGGGCAATCAGGGGATTCCCCGGACAGTGGAAATGAGCAAGGTGGGAATACCCGCCAAAGTGAGGAGTCGAGGATGAGGACTGGTGAGGAGTGAGGAGGAAATCCGCCGAGTACACTACGGATGAGTTCCTGGGAAGAACAAGAGGAGTTCAGTAATCTCGAATGGATCCACTTTTCCTGGCTTTCAAAATGGTCTGCCCAGCCAACCCTTCCCTCAAAGAGCGGAGTGCACGGGCCATCTGAATCAACTCATGACTGATGTAAACATGGAAATCTTGACTCGGTTGAAGAGCAAAGGGTCTGAGAAGAACAGTGTATGACTGATGTGAGTTGACGACCGACAAGGTGCGGAAATGGTGGTTCGGGCAACTGGAGGAGGAAAGGAAGGGAAGGGAACTGGGGGCTGTCCGGAGAGTGGACGTTGCCCATCAGCTCCGTGACAAGCTTGACAAGGTCTTGGTTTCGTCCAATTTTGGCTTTTGATCGTTATCAAGATTGACAACTGTCGACAATCATTGCTTCTGCCTGCAAACTGTCAGCCGCCAAGGGAGTAAAAACAGCTATGATAGACGCCCGGTTTTCTTTTGATCCTTGTATCGATCTGCCAAGTGTTTGTAGAGATTGAGTTGAGACGCGAATGTCGTTATGGTCGTGTGTTGACAATGCTAGAGGTCTGAACTATCGGACTTTGAAGGGACAAGGCCTGTCTGACTGTCTGTTCTCTGGGCGGCGGCGTAGGGGGCAGGGTAAAGTTCATGATAACCCGGCGCATTTGCGAGACATAGACAAGACGGACAAGAACCGGCGCCCCCCTTTACTTTATGCCATCTTCCATGTCGCCTCGTGGCAGAGCTGAAGGACCCCTAAACGGACCCCAACCCACAGCCCACAGCTTATGATCTGGCGGGACTAAAGTAGACACTCTTGCGTGACCCAAGAATTGGATTCGGGTATCGATCAGGAATATCGTCGGGTCGTAGCTGAATAACCGTCATTGTCGTCGTCGGGGACCACAAGTTGTCACTTGTCAGTGTCATGGTTCGCGCTAAGGATTAATGGCAGTGGAGTGAGATCGGCGTGCTGGTGAAAGTGAGGAGCAACGACGGGACTGGTGGTTTTTATAACCGGTGGAGCTGACTCCCGAAGATGTGGCCCCTGCACTGCTCTTCGGTCGCTGACGTTCACTTTAGCGGCTCCTTCCAGACATTTTGCGCCTTTCCCCTCTTCACAGAAAGGTTTCATTCACCGCATTAGGTTTAGCGTGCCTTACGCTAGCTTCGGCTACCTCCAGGTAGCTCCTTCTCCCACTGTGTCTTTGCGGCACCTCGGAATTACGTCCAATAAGAGGTCTACCTTTTTCTCTCTCTTTCCAACTGAGCTTGGATTTGGACAAAAGTCCCAAACAGTGCTGTTTCATTCTATTAATTAGCCCTCTGCAGACGGCACTTTAAATGTCGGTGCGAACGCAGGTTGGACCCGAGTGGAGAGTGGATCCGTTGAGCACCAAACATTGTTCCCCATTGGCCCAATCGCCTCTTGGCCTCTTCAAGCCTGCCGCAGTTCCAACCAAATGACGGGATCCTTCCCAATCCAGTGTCTGTCGCTTTTGCTCACTGCCACTGACTGCCTCGTCTCAGCTTCCTTTTGCAGTGTCTTGAGTCTGTGTTTTCCCCTCTCCTCCGTTTTCCACTGCATCATCTCACAATTTTCCACTCCCAGCATCCACCTGCTTCGTCTGTACCCGGGCCGCGCGGGGACTCCCACATTCAAGCACTTCACTGCACATCAACGAGAAGGCGTCAAAGGTACCTTGCACTCTGCACTCTGCGACTTGAAAATCATCCAAACCCGACAGGCAAAAGTGTCATCGATCCTTTGGCATCATCAGCGACCTAGCAATCCACTATCGTATTCACGAGTCTTTGGATCTGCGCATTTTGACCGGAACCTAGGGGCTCGTTCTCGCACATACAGTAGCACGAACCCGGACGACGGACTTTACACTGGCCGGGCAACCTGGAACACTCGGGATACAGTGACCCCAGCACCCAGAGCGTCGTCAACCCCCGTTTTTTGTCTCGACCTGGGCATCCCGGGCCCCATCTCGCAAGATTAACCAAAGGTAGTGTACTGCCTGCCTGCCTGCCTGCCTTCACCTTTACCTTACCTTTAGCTTCCCGCCCATCAATCATTCCGACACCAACCAAACAACAACCCATCTCGCCCTTCAATCACTTTCCGTGTCTGTTTTCTTTGTCGTCGACCCTTCGAAACCGTTTACCAACGACGCGCGTGTACGCCAACCGACTGTCGGATTCGGCGACTGCCAGCTAAAGAGAGAACTGCCAACCAGAGAGGCGACCGGTAACGATTCACGATTCGCACCGCATCCACTCAAGACGTCACAACCAAACCCAACCACCCGTGGTCCCTGCGGTGTCGACCTGGAGAGCTTCCCATCAAATCAAGTCGCCAAAGTCACCATCCAACACCGCCCATCAATTGCGACAGTCGACCAAGTCATCTTGAACCCGCATTATTCTCGTCGCCCATTCTCGGTGATTCCAGCTACAGGCGATTGACGGACGACGACGAAATCTGCCCCTGGTCGACAATAGTGAAGGCCTAGGAAAGGTTGTCAGAGCGACGAAGCTGAACTGCACATCACATCAATATTCGCCGGAAAAAGTCGTCTTCATGGTTTTCTAGAACAAACCCGCGACCAGACGAGCATCCACTTATCCGCCAAGTCCAAGTTCCCGGCCATCATCGACTGCCTCATCTAGCCACCGCAGTCGAAAGGGATTTATGATCAAGATGGGCGCGTGCATGAGCACGAACGACGAGGAGACGGAGCAGAAGAAGAGGAGCCAGAAGATCGATCGCGACCTAGAGGAGGACTCCAAGAAGCTACGGAAAGAATGCAAGATTCTACTTCTCGGTGCGCATCCCTATTGCCCTTCTTTCCCTTCCCTTTTTCGTTTCTACTAACATGCTTGCGCGTACAGGCTCCGGCGAGAGCGGTAAATCGACCATTGTGAAGCAGATGAAGATCATACATCTCAAGGGCTATTCAGATGAGGAGCTCACAAACTACCGACCAACAGTCTACAAGAATCTGTTGGAATGCGCAAAGGCGGTTGTCAATGCTATGCACCAGTTCGATATTCAGCCGGCAGATCCGTCGTTACGGCCCTATGTCGAGTTTCTCCAAGAGTACAACATGGAGGGGTGTCCACCAGGACAGCCCATTGATCCCAAAGTCGGCACAGCTATCCAGGCAATATGGAACGATCCAGCAAAGGACCTACTCATGGAGAGGCAAACAGAGTTCTACCTTATGGACTCTGCAGAATAGTGCGTGTCCATTCATTGCCCTGAAAAATTCACGTTTGCTGACTTGGCGAAGTTTCTTCACCGAGGTCATGAGGATTGTTGCCGAAGACTATCGACCAAATGAAATGGATGTACTTCGCGCCAGAACAAAGACGACAGGTATCTACGAAACGAGATTCAAGATGGGGCAGCTCAGTATCCAGTAAGTGCCTGATGGAAATCTGTTACACTCGTGCCCTCAGCTCACACAATGATCTAGCATGTTTGATGTGGGCGGGCAACGTAGTGAACGCAAGAAGTGGATTCACTGCTTCGAGAACGTCACATCCATCATCTTCTGTGTTGCCTTGAGCGAGTACGACCAAGTGTTGCTCGAGGAGAGCAGTCAGGTATGTCCACCACGTCACCCCTGGTACAGAGATGGTGCTAACATGTAACAGAACCGCATGATGGAAAGTCTGCTGCTCTTCGATTCCGTCGTCAATTCACGGTGGTTTATGAGAACGAGTATCATCCTGTTTCTCAACAAGGTCGACATCTTCAAGCAGAAATTGGGGCGGTCACCTCTAGGGAACTACTTTCCGGATTATTCCGGTGGAAACGACGTCAACAAGGCTGCCAAGTACCTACTATGGCGGTTCAACCAGGTTAACAGGGCTCACCTTAACCTGTATCCTCAGTATGTCCTTTGTATCTTGTCCTGGTTTATGAGTTGTTATGCTAACATTCGTCACAGCTTGACACAAGCCACCGATACCTCCAACATCCGTCTCGTGTTTGCTGCCGTCAAGGAAACCATTCTCAACAACGCCCTTAAAGACTCTGGTATTCTATGATGAAAGACCTTTTCGCTCACGCATTTTCTTCCTTTTTCCATCTCTCTCTCTTGCAACAGCGTTCAGAATATTACCAAGTCTCCCTTCTTGCATGACTCGGCGTTAAAGGGGTGGTAGCTGTCTGGCTGGCCGGCTAGCAAAAGCACGGCGGTGACAGCAACGGAGGCGGCGGTTGTTGTTTCTATCATATTCCAGGTTCACGCGCGTTTGGAACGTTGCCAACCTGAGGTTTGCTTTGCTTCCAATCAGTTTTTCTTTTCATCAGCATGCATTCATCTGAGCGACAGGCAGCGCCATCAACCATACCATTCCAAACGGAACTTATTGTAATCTTGTTTACGCACCATTTGTTTTGCGCCGACGCAGAACAGCATAGGAGCACTTTTTCACGACGGCGACTGGATCGACTGAGCAGTCCTTGCTTTTTTTTGTACATTCCTTTTCAACCGCATCGCAAGGAAACGAAAACTAGGGGAGAGACATATATTGAAAATGTGTCGCTGTCACGGGAGAAGCTTGGAAGAAGGAAGATGGAAGTGAAAGGTCCTGTTCGCCTCCCAGTGAGGTTTCGATCCGACATTGCAATGCGGTCCAAGGTCCGAGGTCTATATGCAGAGGGGAGAGCAAAGAAGGGGAAGAAGAAGCCATGATGTTCACGAATTCGTTCTGTTGACGGCACCGAGAACGAGGAGATAAGGGCTGTCTATGTGGCTATCACAGGACATCTGATGAATTAGGATTGAACAACCAGGTACTTACCTTTTTATGAGTTGATTAAGTGGATAGATGCTGCATCTGAGACATACGAAACGCTGGCAGTTGGTACTTGGCATGTTGGCTCAGAACAGGGACCGACAGACGAATGGAGAGACAGACAGATAGACAATTAAGAAAGACAGTGATACGTCACGATAGTGGTACAGAACAGATAATACATGTCTTGTGTACCCGTGTACCTGCTGCGGTACCAACGGTGACAACAATACCACGCTTTTATGTTACTACCAAGTCGTCGTGGTAGTCGTGTGGTAGTTGACTTGATGAGGGTAAAAGGGTGGTAGTACCTCACAGGAAGGCCTCTTGTCCCGAGAAGGCCGCATGAAGCGAACACCAGCGACATCAACAATACACTGCACCAATCATGGGACAGGATAGGACGTTTGGAATAGTACACAGGTGAGGTATCCAACGGATCAGATTCTTCCACTGTTACGGCCCCGTCCACTACCTCCACTTCCGTGTATGTTCAGTTGCAACACAGGAGGCACGACAAGCTTGAAATCCGAACTCACGGATAATGAAGCCGTGCACAACGATTACTCCATAAGCTATGAGTTTGGAATTAATTAATACATACGGCCATAGATGGTGGAAAACTCGGGATCCCGTCCGCTCTCCCATAGATAAGCCACCAATCGCCTGACTAGTAGTTGGGTCGGTGACGACCAGCGAATCCCAGGTGCTGTATGTTTTTTTGCATTCTATTTTTTTGGCGCTTTTCTTTTGCTACAAACCCATATTGAATGACCTAGTACTTACTTTTCTCCTCATGAGTCTCTCGTGATATTTTTCTGTTTTTTGTTAGGTCATCAACCCCTCTTCTTGATCGCAACGACGAAAAGACTACCTGAGTGTGTTGTGATGATCGTATGCGAAAGAAGTTGTTGCCTTCATGACCTATGAAATATGTTGAGAAGAATAACGCATTCGTCGGTCGCTATACAATACGAAGCAGTTACGCAGCAATATCAGAAAAGAAAAGAAATGGTCTCATGATTATGTCCGGAGGCCTTACTAACTCATTTGGTTTTGTTCTCAGGTCCCTCGTTAACCTTGCTTTAAGCATCTCCAGCTATTGGTGGCTGCTGTTGTTGCTGCGGCGTCTCCCACTGTCCCTTTTCTGGTGTCCCAGGGATCACTTGTTCCCCCATCATGGCGGTATCCTCTGCTATAGCATCCCTTCCAGGAGCTTGCCCGTTGTGTTCTGTACCCGCGTCACGCCCCTGCTTATGCCGTGGTGGACTTGATGGCGGGACAATGTCCATCGGTGTCGGCGCCGCGCTACTTTCCACCTCTCTTCTCGCTGGCGTTGGAAGTTCAGCTGGCGTACTGTCTTCCTTCTCAGTCTCAGTTTCCTTCTCCTTCTCGCCCTCGCCCTCGCCCGTGTTTTCTCCCCCATCCCCATCCAAAGTCTGCCTCTTAATCCCCTTCCTAGCCTGCTTAATCAAATCCCCAAAACTCCCTCCATACCGATTCGCCCACGCTTTCCCATCGAACTCCTTGTCCTTGATCTGCGCCCCGGCAGCTTGCGCCCTCGCCATGAGACCGAGTCCCTGCTGCCCTCCTCCTGCTGCTGTGCCGGGGTTTCCTACCGTCCTCTCCCATTCGTCTAGATCGCGAAGTAACTCGGACCGCTTTTTGGGTCGCGAAGAATCGCAGTTGGCGTTCCAAAGCGTGATCCACTCCTTGTGTCGCTTCTCCAAAAGCTGCCGAGAACCGTGCGTGGAGAGACCGAGTTCGGAGAGTTTCTTGCGCAGGGCGGTGTCGCGGAGCATGGAGTAGGCTAGGGCGGGGAGGCGTTCGGGTGGTTTTTGGTTTTGCGTAGTGGTCTGAGAAGTGAGGCGGGTGTTGAAGGAGGAAAAGGTCGGTTGTTGTGGTGTTTGAGCTGGGGTTGGTCGTCGTTTGGATGCTGGTTGAGGAGAACCGGGGCAAGATGTGTCGAGGTGGCGGTCGACTTGCTGTTCTTTCATGCGGGTGAGGCAGATGGGGCAGGCTACTAGGCCGTCGTCTGGTGAGGGGTTAGTGATGGTGATGGAAGCGGGAGGGGGAGAGGAGGGAAACAAACCGGGTGGTTGGTCGACGTAATCTGGGTCGGCTGTGGGTGTGGTGTCTTCCTCCTCTTGTAGTATTGCCGCTGTTAACTCGGAAGCTCGGGTCTTTGTTGATCTAGTTGATCTTCTAGGCCTCTTGGTTTCTTGATCCTCCTCTTTCGCCCCTTCCATCTCCGTCGCCTTTCGTTTTGTGGGTGAACTGGGGCCAGCTAGGTCGGGAGGTGCTGCTTGAATGGTCGGTGGTGCCCTAGCAAACTCGAGAAGTGCTTTACGGGAATCTTTGAAGGCTTCTACGGCTTCGCGCAAAGCCCAATTGCCTCTGAGTTTGGATTCCTGGTCGGTAGCTCGACATAGCGGGCACTTGCTGTCAACGGACAGACATCTTCGTATGCACAATGAGCAGAAGGTGTGGTTGCAAGATGTGAGCATGGGAGAGTCGTAGAAGTCCTTGCATACATGGCAGCGGAAGGCTTGTTCGACGGGCATCAAGCATGCGAGGGGAGTGTCCAGCCAGTCGGTCGAGTCGGGGACGTTGAAGGCTTCATCGCCGAAGACTTCCATGATGGTACTCTAGAGTGTGGTGGTGCTCGTCGTTATCAATTGCTGAATATGGTGCTGAGGTAGAAGCGATGGTGAACCTGATTTGAACTATCCAATTTGTTGTTGGTGTTGATGGCTGCCTTCTGCCTGGAGGTAATGTAGAGACGGAAGATGTGAGACGCGATGTCTGCAAGTCGAACGTGCTGGTCGCGACTTTCTTTGAGTGGGACAATGCAGGTCAACGAAAAGAAGCCCCGACATTACACAGTATTTACAATGTCTGGCCGAGGGTCAGGACGAGACCGAAAAACGACGAGTGCATATAGACTCGGAATGGGTCATTGATGGATTGCTCATTCTCCTTGCTAGATATTCAAGTCCCACGTAAAGATCTGGAGTATTCTTCATTGTCATCTCCTGACTTTGTTTCTCTTTGTGGCCCTTTTGCGCAAACCTTTGATCTCCATGATGGTAATTTTGTTTAACACGATACTGTAATAACAGGACCTGCACGTGAACTGGCGACTGGAAGGCGTGCAGCGGGTGTTCTGGGGCCCTTCCAAGCGCAAAAGCGCTGCAACAGTGGGAGCAGAAGCCCCACCTCAGCTCCTCAGCCCAGACTATTCCGCTTTGGGCGTCAATCAAAACAAAGACTAAAGCGGATTGGTGGAGCCATGACTTCGACAAAGGCAACACAGAAACTCCATCTCCAATCCCTCGCATTTCACTTGCTTTGACTCCAGCAATCCCGTCATCCCTCCGACAACCGACCACCACCACCACATCGCCAGCCTCGTCGCCCACCTCCCTTTCCTTGATCAATTATACCAATGCTTTGAATATCTTGTTGCGATTCCTTTTTTCAATCATTGCTTGGAGTTTTTAGCTTTCCGCATCGCCCTTCCCCTCTCGAACCCGGTTTGTTGACTTTTGGCGCCAAAGTAAACAAACAGCAAAAATGGCAATGCGCAAGGCACCACGTCTGCCCGTCGGCTCGGCAGCATGGGTCGCAGAAGAGCGCGCATCTGCGGTCAAGGTCGCAGAAGAGGAAGTGGAAGAGTTCTCGTATGCTGCGCGCAATGAGATGGATTGGCTGAACGAGCACATGGAGGATATCTTTTCGGGCGAGAACCAAATGTGCGTGTCTTTGCGCGCGACGACCGATTTTTTGTCTCGCTGACCAGAAACAGGAACATCGCCGAAATCTTCAAAACACCAGCGCGACCACGAGGCAAGACGCCACGAACAATTCGCAAAGCACCAAATACCGAAGTTCGAGTGGTAAGCATCCAGACAGCGCCTTTCTGCGACGAGCGACAAAGGTTGATCTGTTCTAACCCACAGCAGCCCTTGGCCAGCATCTTCTCAGCCACTCCCCAAGGAACACCGAATCCCTTCGTTCTCGCCCCGCCCGCAAATAACTCGTCATGGACGCCCAAGATCAGGCCCGATACGCCTGAAGCGGATGCCGAAGCTGATGACGAAGCCGATGTCCCCAAGAATCCCACGACTCCCTCGACGCGCCGTGTGAGCCCCCGAAAATCATTTGTTGCCTCAGCTGCAAAGTCGCCAAGCCCAGTCAAGAGCATCGCCGCGCCATCACGACAACCGAGCCCAGTCAAGCCGAACAACACGCCTATGCGACCACCCGCGAGTCCAGCAAAGCCAGTCGCTGCTACCCCGTCGAAAGTCAGAAGCCCGATCAAACATCTCAATGGCTCCCCCCTGCCAATCCTTTCCAAGTCGCCTACCCCCGTCAAGGCCACCGATTCTGGATATTATGGCAGTCAGCAGCTGGATATTATGGATGTTGACGAGGTCGAGAAGGTCGCCGATGTCGATGTCGATATGGGAGAACCAGCGCACGAGCCGACGGTGGAATTCACTCAGCAGTCAACACAGGAGCCGTCACAACGACCATCGCAGGAGCCCACACAGGAGCAGACAGAGGATCTAATACGGCCGTCACAGGAGCTTAACCAGGAACCGACGCAGGAGGAACCAGAGCAGGAGATTGAGTCACAGGATCTTGGACTTCAACCAGCCCCCACTGAACCGGAGGAGCACGCCAGTCCCGTACCCCAGGAGACAGTCGAACTACCGGAAACGACCCAGCCTTCAAAAGAGACTGTTGAACCCACTATTCAATATCCTCATCTGCCCTCACCCGAGCTTGATGTTGCTAGGTCTAGTAGCCCAGTCCATATGCTCGTCCCGTCGCCCACCAAGTCTATCCATGCGCCTTCCCCGAAGAAGGCTGCCTCGCCGGTTAAGGCACTCTCGCCCCAAAAGCTTGCATCACCAGAAAAGCGTCTTTCCCCCGAGAAGAGGATTTCCCCGGACAAGATGGCGTCCCCTCAGAAGGCTCCTTCGCCAGAAAAGATTCCCTCCCCTGTGAAGACCATGGAGATCGAAGAGGAGGAATTGCCTGTGGATAGGGCTTCCCCGGAAAAAGCGGCTTCTCCGACAAAGACTGCGCCCCCTCTCGTCCTGTCACCCAAGAAGAAATCGCCGGAGAAGGCAACAGTTGTTGAGCAGCAACCTAAGACTCCGGCGCCCTTTGCACACCCCCAACCTGAAGAGGATAATGCGGACGACCAAGCGGACGACAAGGTGAACGATGACGCCAACTCATCCATGGAAGTCTCTAGCCCCATTAGCCCGGTTAAGCGCCTGAGCAGTCTGAACTTTGCATCGCTTCCCGCACGCGAACCGATGACCTCTAAGAAGAGCCTCGGTAATAGGATGTCGAGGACTAGCCATGTCGACGTAACGCGAACCTCATTCTACCATCGCCAGACTGGAGGAAAGAGTCTTGGCCATACTACCCGACAGGATTTCGATGATGACGACGATGAGATGGACATCGATGGTGATCACACTCAGGAACCCAGGACGGCTAAATCATACACTCAGCGATTGCAGGATCAGATCAGCATGTTGGGCAAGGGACAGGCAATGGGACCGAGACCATCGAAATCGATAGCTCACCTCTTGCCGGCACAACAACCTGCATCCACTTCACAGGCACCAACGACACAGCCCGTTCCGGAGCCCACCAAATCCTCACCCAAGAAGCCACCTGTGGTTACTCCAAGGGCATTTCCCACACCTGGAGCATTCCCGCTGGACGACGATGATGACTGGATTGGACCTCCTAGCAAGGGAGCGGATATGTCCACCCCCATGGTGTGGAACGCGCGCAAAGACACACGGCTAAGTCAGCCAATGGAAGGAATGAACCTCTTCGCAAGGGAGGCATCCCCGACCCTTGGAGAATCCTTCATGGAGAACAGGCACGACTCACCAAGTAAAGCGCCCGTCATCCAGGAACCACCTGCTACTTCTTCAGCACATATCAAATCGGCTTCTGTTCCCATGCTACCGAACTTGAACGAGCTTTCCGTGCCAAAGACCTCCAGCCCCAAGAAGGAGGCATCTGCGTCTACTTCCAACCTCCACAAAATGCCAGCGGACGAACCTGCTTCGCCCTTCAAGTCTCCCTCCAAGGTATTCCGCGAGAACACGTTGGAAAGGGTCAAGAACAAGTTTTCCTCCCTTATGAAATCATCCAAGGGATTTCTCCCGACTAGTGCACCTTCCAATGCGGAAGCAAAACTGACCGGGCTCTTCACAACTCCTTCAACTGCTCGACTGGAAGAACACCCCAGTTTATCCGAAGCTTCCTTCAAGACAGCCGATAATGTCGTCTATCCTGATCTATCTCACCATGTACAGCCCGAGGCTCCCGTAGCCGCCACCCCCATTCGACCGACGAGAAAAACCCGAGCGTCGACCGAGAGGGAAAGAAAGGAGGCCGAGGAAAGGGAGAAGGAAAAGAAGAGGGAAGAGAAGGAAGCCAAGCAATATGCCAAGCAGAACGAGAAATTTGAGAAGATGCGTGAGAAGGAGGCGGAAAAGGCCCGTCTCTTCCAACAAGAGCAAGAGAGACAGGCAGAGATGGAGAGACGCGCTGCTGAACAGAGGGAGCAGGAACAACAAAAGAAGGAACAGGAAAAGCTTACCAAGGCACGACCACAGTCCAAGCAGTTGTTCGAGACACCAGGACCTTCGAAATCGGCACCTAAGAGCCCCAAGAAAGCTACTCGGACTAGTCTTCGCAGAGGAGCCAAGCAGGGTGATGCCGAAAAGGAGGAAGCCGATGTCGATATGGGAGACGTTACTATCTCTACGAAGCCGCCTCAGTCTATTCCCCGGCCCCCGTCTGCTCAAGCGTCTCGTGGAACAGGCATCAAGCGACCTGTTAGGCCCACGAAGGAGGCATTGACGAGGGCCAAGCCCGCCCCGACTCGCATCCGCGTCAACACCACCAGCTCCCAACAGGGAGCATTCCACACTTCCACCAACAGTGTTCTCAGCACCACCAGCCAGGAGAGCCTAGGTCAGTCGCACGGAAGGCAGCAACTCGTGAGCAAGGCCAGCACGTCTTCGCTCACCAAGAAGCCTTCCCTTCAGAGTCTTAAGGGGTCTTATTCTTCGACTGTCGGGCGGCCCAAAGCCTTGGAGCTAGCGGCCAAGCAGAAGGAGCAAGAGGAGCGCGAGATCCAGCGCAGACGTGATCAGAAGGCGGAAAATGAGCGCAAGAGGGCTGAGATGAAGGAGGAAGAGCAGCGCAAGCAAGCTGCGGCAGCTAAGAAGGCCGCGATTGAGCAAGCTAAGCGGACTCGCGCACCTCCCCCGCCCCCAAGGTCCCAGCCTAATGGTCCTCCGGATCACTTGGCGGAGAGCAGGCAACCGTCGAGACCTAATTCTCGTCTTGGGTCGACGCTGCATGATAGTCGACCAGTTAATGCTGTTCTGGGGAAGGCGGCTTCGAAGCGTCCTTTGACGCAAGTTCAGGAGGCGCATCAGGACTCGAAGCGGATTCGGGTGTCTGAGGACTTTGATGCGGATATCGAGATGGCTGAGGGTAGCACCCAGCAGCAGAGGAGCATCAGGGGGGCGCCAGTCCGTCCTTCTGCTGTGAGACCTTCGGGGGTAAGACCTTCAGCGGCTGTTAGACAACCCTCGGTTGGGTTCAAGAAGGACTTGGCCACTACTACCACGAGCAAGTCGATTTTCGCCTCCAACTACAACAACGTCCCGCATGCTCCTCCCCCTCCATCGCGGACAGTCGACCTCTTCAAGAAGACAACAGTCAACCAAATCAAGACCGGCCACGCCCTGGACACCGCCCAATTCCAAAAGGGCAACCACATCCCCTTTGCCTCCAACCCCAACGGCGCCGGTCCTTCCACCGCTCAGGCCGGATCTTCCCGCCATCCGCTCCAAACCCCAGCGCGTCCGGGTGCTACTGCCGCCCGCGCACTGGCCCTCACCTCCGCCACCAAACCCACCCGCACCTCTCCCCGCCTCGCCGCCATCGCCGCCGGCGACTCCATCGAGCTCCCCGAGATCCAGACGGACGACGAAGACGGCGTCGACACGCCTCGCCCGTCCACCTCCAACCCCAACCTGCGGTCTTCCCTGAACGGTGGCAACTGGACCGACAGTCCCTACCTCAAAGCGCAGCTCTTGGCACAAGAGCAGCTCGATCCGATGGTCATTTTCGGACCCCCTGCGCCGCTCAACATGGAGGAGGTGTTTAGCAAGGACAAGAGCAGACATCATCGGTTCAGGGCCAGGACGAGCAGCGCGAATTGGGAAGGACAGGATCGGTTGACGGAGGAGGAGGTGTGTAGGGATCGCGAGGCGAGGGAGAGGATGAGGAAGGAGGGGGGGTGGAGTTGGGGGCTGGGGAGGACGTTAGGTTAGTGTTATGGAGTGTGACAGAGAGAAGGGTTGTATTGATATTGTTTTTGCACATTTTCACTGTTGGAGTTGGGATATGGGCTTCTTTGCCAGCAGCGTTAACTTCCGGATGAGAAGGCTGCGGTATCGGGAAGGAAAGGGTATAGCATCTTTTTAGGTTGAGAATAGGATGGTTCTCATGTTCATTCTGGAGGGTTGAATAACGGCTCTTTGCATAGATGTTAGGACTAGGGATCTGTATCATGGCATTCATGAAGGTCATTAGGCTTTACCAGGTTCAGGAAAAACTGGAGTTTAGCTTATGGTTAGAGTATGATCAATGAACCTTTTACACATTGATTCCATAACTGGATTTTGCGAAGTACAACCACCAATGTCATTACTACGCTAGGAAACAATCACATCCAAAGAAACAAGGAAACCATTCCCCCCCTCCCCCCTCCCTCCCTGCCCAACCCTACCTATTTACCTCCATGCTCCATCCAACCCCCTCCACACTACGTCAAAGGCGGCGCATTAGGATCCTCCATACACTGATCAACCCTCATCAACCGCTTCCCCGTCCCCTTGGCAAGCTTAATAAACTCCTCCAAATACCCCACCGTGCTCTCATACAAGTAATGCATCACCACCAGATTTCCCCCAGCTTTCAAATCCCTCTTGAACGCCTCCAACTGTTTTTCGGGGGTATCGCTCTCAGCCCACAACCAATCTTCCACATCGATACTCCACCCCACTATATGCGCGTTTTCATCACCCAAGTTTTCGACTAAGCGCTGACGCATCCTTGCCCCTTCTGTCCCAAACGGAGGACGGAAATAGGGGGATACCTTAGAGGAAGGGAAAGTCTGTCGCACAGCCCCAATGTCGTTGGTATATTCCCAGTCTATGTCGGCGATAGTCGGTAGTCCTTCCATTTTCGGGTGGGTGTACGAATGTAAAGCGATCTGGTGGCCCCTTGCCGCCATGTCGCGGTAGATTTTTGATAGGTTAGTGGACGGATCGAGCAAAGGCAAACCGACGGTGAAGAAAGTTACGGGGATCGAGGCGGCGGAAACGATGGACGCAACGCGCGCGGCGAGCTTAGGGTCGCCGTCGTCGATGGCGAAGGCGAAACTGTTCGGGCGCGTGCAGGCGAAGACTAATTTTCCCGAGGGGAGTTTGTGCGGGATGGAGACTCCGGAGGAGGAGGAGGGGACGGAGGAGACGATTTCGAGTGCGGAGATGGTGGTGGATTCGGAGGGGGAAAAAAAGCCGCGCAGGTTGAAGCCGATGGTGCGGGTTAGGTTGATGGCGAAGTGCGAGAGGGGGATGTAGATGTCGGACCCACCAAAGGAGTAGCGGGCGGCTTCGAGCGAGTCCCAGGTTTCGGGGTAGGGTTTGATGGACTCGTCGCATTGGGCGTTGTGTTGTTGGAGGGCGATCGAGAACTTGTTGCTCCCCCGATAGGCGACGTGCAGGTAGGCGGTGGAATAGGGGGTCAGGTCAAAGCATTTGGCGGCCAGCTGCGTGTTCCAGCCTAGGTCAGAATCGTTGGTGCGGATGGTGATGGAGTTCTTGCCAAAGGTGACCGTCATACCGTCGTCGCCGCCGTGCCACTGGCCGAGGCTGTTGGTGTCTTGGTTGGAGAAAGTGTCAATGACAAAGGGCTTTGCGTTGGAGGAAGGGGCGGGGACGGTCGGGGACGCGCCCGTGTTGGAGGGGGGCGGGAGGGTGGGGAGGATGTATTCGGATGCGGTGCTGCCGCAGTAGAAGGACATGGGCCCGAGGATCACGGCGGCGTTGAAGGACGAAAAGTAGATCATATCGAGCTTCGTCGTGTCAAGGCCGGTGAAGACGGAGAAGGGAAACCAGTAGAGGCGCTCGGTGCCGTCGAATGTCCATTTGAGCTGCGTGGACGTCATGGATATGGTCTTGCGGCCGGTGCTGGAGCCGCAGGTTGCAAAGTAGGACATTTGTACGGCAAAGGTGGTGCCGCGTGCGGCTCGGATGCGGAAGGAGATGCCGCCGTACTTATTGTTAGTGTTGAGGCAGCCGAATTGGCTGTAGAAGTAGGACTGTTGGTCCTTGGGGGTAAGCAGTACGCGGTGGTTACTGACCACGATGGAGGACATGGTGCCGTCATCGCTGGAGGCTTGATTCATGGCATTGTAGCCCAAGAAGGTCAGGCGGGATTGCGACTCCCAGTCGTCGATCAGCAAGTTCGAGCAGGCAGTAGCTGTCGGACTGGCGGATGTGGACCTGGTGGCCGTTGTGATAACGGAGCGAGTCGTGGAGGTTACTACGGAACGGGTTGTGGAAGAGGCTGAACTCGGTTAGTGGTGATCGCCAAAAAGGGGTAGGGAAGATATACGTGTAGTGGTAGGGGCAGTTGTGGTGGTCGGAGCAGCCACAGCCCCGCAAGTCAGCTTGATGTTGCCGATGGACCAGATGGAATTGGTCTTAGAGAACTCGGACCAGACCAGTCCAACAATAGCATCATAGTTGGGGTTGTTGTCGAAGCCCAATAGTGGCAGGTCGATGGTCTGCTGGCTTCCCGTCAAGCTGCTGATGACATTGTAGGAGCTCGTGTAGTTGGCTGTATCACTGGCGTTGCAACTCGCAGATGTCTGTAGCTCGAGTGCAACAGACCCTCCAGCTGGTCCCTCAAGAGTGAATTGGATTCCGCCATAACCGTTGGTGACGGCTTGTTGGCACGAGAAGGACTCGTAAAAGTACGACCCGCCATCTTTGGGAATGAACTGAACCTTGCCCGCAGCGGCAGCGATGGATGTCATAGATGCATCGTCTGTTTGTGTTAGTAAGGTAACTGTCTTTTGTTCTGCATGTGAGAGTGACTGACCTCCGTTAGGATAATTCAGATTGTTCGTTCCCTCAACCCATTTGGTAAAGTCGTCGATGATGAGGTCGGAGGTGCAGGCAGCGCTGACCGTGGTGATGGCCAACAGACCAGAAACCACGGTTGCAAGACGACGATCAAGCAACATGGCAGTCAATTCCCCGAAGACCGGTGCTAGATGGAGACACAGAAATCCAGTCTGGCGACACAGGCCATGACTGCGTGCAGTGAGTTATATGTGTTCTCGGATCTGATGGCCGAGAATATGGGCCAGTCCCTTCCAGGGGTAATCAACCACGAGAATGCAGGTATAGATTAAACAAATATCAACCGACTGGGGCGCGTGTAACTCGAGTTGCCATCGCTTCCGTGACCGTGGTATGAGATATCGCTAAGAGAAAAATAACCATATGGGATAGTGATGAAGATTACGCAAGCCCGGGGCCAACGCCCGAGGTAAATGAGAGTGCGGAGCGTAGGAAGGGATAAATCCCACGATGCAGTGTGCCGACTTGGCTGTTGTCCCCTGCGGTTCATGTGGCACTACTGCCCATGGTTAACCAGGAACTGGCAAGCTCGTGTATGCTATGTAACAATAGTAGATGAGCTGAACAGATTCCTGTTCTGCAAGTCTCAACTTGAGACCTGGATGTTGTGTTCGTTCCTGATACCGATAGTGTAGTGGAATCGGACATATTCGATCCGAAGCTCAAGCCACTCGACCTAAGAAGCATATTAGACCCGGAGCGCGTTTTCTAGCTTCGGTCGGTCGGTGACGAGGCCCGTAAGAAGGCTGGTGAAGGATGAGGTCCGATGCAAGGCCCGGTGAGCGGAAAGATACATGAGCACCCCAATGAAACGTGATTCGGGAACTGGTGAGATGAGATCCGAGTTGAGAAGTTTAGCCTCCAGAAACGTGAGGATCTAGTATGTCGGACGGGAAGAGGGTGGGATTCAATCCATATTCTGCGCGGCCGAGAGCAGAAAGGAAGAGTGATAAGGCGAGAAGAGGGCATTCTCATCTAATAAAGTGGGGAACTTTTTCGGCAGTCATCTTGAAGGAAGTTGATGAGGTTGATATTGAGGTGTTCTTGGCTTGCACATCCGATTCGCCAAGAAGCCGGGGTAGCTTTGCGGTGTTGGGGGCTGGCGGAGATCAGGTACCATGTCGGATCGAGCCTCTCTTGTGGATGTAACTCGTTTTTGTTCAAGAGTTAGGTAAGGCATCTTGACTCATGAAGGAGGTTGAAGAGAAGAGCCGCAAAGGAAACCGATGACGGTTTCTCAAGGGTTTATGTCGAACTCAACAAGTTACCCTCTCAAGGATGCACAACGTATCGACGTTGGCAAAGTGATGAGTCCATGGTATCGCAGTATTTTGATGTTGCTTTGACGTGTTGTTTGAAGCCAAGTGCGTCGTCAAGAAGTTTGCCGTGAACGCCGTCCACTGTGTCCTATAACATAGCAGTTAACGTTACCTTTGGCCAGGCTGGGCCACTGACACCATAGCAAACCGGAACATTCAGCCGAAATGGCTAATGGTGAGCCGTCTGTGAGTGTCTATGTCGCCATTGGAACGATCTATTTTCTGGAAGCATGGTCCCAACGGCGTCACCGTATCCCGCGAATCGGAGCATAGGTCAAGAGAGGGTATATGATTCTCGGTTGACTTGGCGATAAACGCCGGAGCGAACGTTCGTCAGCTCACTGGAGGTCGGTAGATATTATGAAGTCTTGTCTGTGGTAGAGTTGCGCTGTGAAGGTTAGCGACCTCAAAAGCCTATGTTGTTTGACCAAGTCAAGTCAGTCGTGAGTGGGGCTGTCATTGTTTACTTTGTTCAGGGGAAAGATGAAAGAGGATAAGTCCAAGATGAGAACGTCTTGGCCCTTGGGTGTCATCACAAGCCCCACGTGATGGCTTATTCTGGTATAAGAGGATAGGAAAATAAAGAAGCACAGACCGCGGGACGTCAGATGGCGGAGGACGCGGAGCCCCGAAGATTAACGTCGCTTCAGGGCCGCGGCGCCGGCTGACCTCACTGCCGTGTTTCCACCTTCCATCTTCCGCCGTCCAGCAGTCCACCCGCTGCCCCCCGAACGCCGTGACCTCGCTTGCGCCGATACCGTGCTCCACGCCGGAGACCGATAATACCCCGCTATCTATCCACTAGCTTACAGCGACACGCACTGCCCTTTGTCCCATCGCATCTTCAACTGGGCTTGTCGTCACAGCATCTGCATCGTAACAGTAATTACAACTACCGCGTATCGATACAGCAAGTTACTCTACAGCTGATTCATTGCTTGCGCGGACCCCGACATCTCCCCACGGCGTACTCATGCAGTCCGCCGACAATGCGCCCCCTAACGACCCCCTCGCGTCGCTGCCCATGGCCAACCCCACCATGAAGCCCCAACCCTCCAAGCAACGGGGACAGCCGCTTGTCCTCGACTCGCGTCCTCTCTCCCAGCCCGAAGCCCAGCCGACCACCCCTATCCGCGAACGACGAACGAATCCCTCGGCTGCCTCCCTTTTCAGGTCAACACTTACACCACCGGGCTCCCGCTCCGCGTCACCAGCACCCATGGGTTCCCCCGCCCGCAGCCTGACCGGCTCCGTCTTCGGTAGCGGCGGCTTCAAGCAATCTCTCCTCGACACCGCGGCCGCGGAGAACCCGGGGGATCCTCTCAATCTGATCCTCAAGAGCTTCGTCCCGCACATCGCTATCCACGACTCGGAAGATGTCGAACATCTGGTTAAGGAAAAGGGTTTCAAGGGCGGTCTGTTTGAGCTGCTCCGTCCGTTCGGAGAGCGCATCCAGGGGAGGGTTACTATTCGGGACAGCAACGGGGCATCACGCACGTGGGATGATTTTTCGGTCCGGTTTACAAAATTCGGGGAAGCTGTCGAGGATCCAGATACGCTACCAGATCCACGGTCACTAAGGGGACCTCCGCCGAACGGACAAGCAGCGGGACAATACAATATGCCTAGGAAAAAGACAAGCTTGGTTCAACAGGTGGAACAAGTGGTTGAGAAGCATTTGGGTTTCGCAGAGGAGGCAAGCATGGGGACAGCAACACCTACGACGCCCACGAGGCAAGGTCTCGATACAGACGCTACATCACCATATTATGCCCTCTACCTCCGGCGACTACTATCCGGCATTCCCATGGCGTCACACGAAACCTTCTCCCACCCGGTAGCATGCGTAATAGCCATCAGCTCCCGACACCCGGCCCCGATCGAAGCCCTCAGGCAACTCTACAGCGAAACCACACCCGCCGAGCAGCGGATACCACCATGGGTTGACGGCGATTTTCTGCGCTACTATGTACTGGTGCACGACGAAGAACGCAGCGACATCACCAAATCCATGCAGCTCTTCGACCAAATGAAGCGCCACTTCGGCTTACACTGCCACCTTCTCCGTATCCGCTCCTCCCAATCCGCCGAGACTGACGACGACAGCATCCCTCTCCCTCGCTCCGACTGGATGTCCGCCTCCGAAGAGCTCGCCGACATCGAACGGTCCGAACAGCTCCAAGACTCGTTCGACGACGACCCCCACCTCTTCAACCGGTACATCTTCGAGTCCGACGCCACCGCCATCCGCACCTTCATCCGCGAAATGGTCATCCAATCGATAATTCCGACCATGGAGCGCAACGTCTCGTTATGGAACGACCAAGTCGCCTCCCGGCGTCGCGGCATCAGCGGGCGGTTCATGTCCTTGTCCAAGCGCTTCACAGTCTTCGGCTCCTCCTCTTCCTCCTCGCGCAACTCCACCAGCAGTTCATCCAACGGCTTCGACACCCTGGGTTACTACCGTCCCGACACGCCCGAAGCCATCATGCGCCGGCTCGCCGACTTTGCCTTTATGCTGCGCGATTGGAAGCTGGCCATGTCCACTTACGACTTGCTGAGGACAGACTTCCAAAACGATAAAGCGTGGAAGTACCACGCTTCAGCAAACGAGATGGCCGCTTTGTCCCTGCTCATAATGCCGCAAAATATGTCCTCCAAGAACAGAGTAGAAATCATCAACCCCATGGTTGAACAGGCTCTTTACTCTTACCATACACGCTGCTCGTCTTTGTACGGGGCCGTCCGGTCCACCCTTCTCTCTCTCGAACTCCTTCGTCTACGAGGCGGCACAGGAATCGACGAATCCGTCCGCTGGGGCACGCGCCTCCTTGAAATGCGATTGTTCGGCCCCATCGGCGACGCCTTGCTCCGCGAACGGTTAGCAGTCTGCTACGCCTCCAAGCGCGGAACCGGCTCTCAGCTCTGGGGAAGCAGGAGACGCAAGTCAGCGATGTGGAGCGTCCTTGCCGCCCAGGCGTGGGTGAGCATGGGCAAATACTTGCAGGCGCAAAAGTGTCTGGCGGATGCTAGGAGGATGTACTCTCTGCTACCGAGCGAGTGGGGGGTACAAGGGTTCAACGGGGCGAGCGAGTTTCTCGCTGGGTTGAACGAGGCAGTGAGAGAGGGGTTGAGGGTTACGAGGGAGTATGCCGAGGCGTTGGAGGCTGAGGGGGGACATTCTCAGGGCGGTAATAGGGAAGGAGAGGAGGGAGAGGGGTTGGGATTGCAGTTCGACGAAAGCAGCAACCTCACGATCCGACCCAAGGCCGACCAGGCAGCTACCGGCACACAGGACAACGCGCAGACGGAAGTGGACGTGGACGTGGAGCAAGACGGGTTTAACGGACAGTCAACCTCTTCACAATTACCACCACAACCGCAAATACCCACACCCACCGCGTCTTCATCCTCCAGGTCGTCACCGGAAACAACACTGGATTCTGATGCCCAACAGCCGGAAGATAAGGACACAAGCACCTTCGAAAATGTTACCAGCGGTGGAAATAGTCCCACCCGACCGCGAAAAGCAAGCATGGCCGTCCGAACATCCAGGGTGCTATCAGCTGCGGACCTGGAGCCAGCGCCGCTGTCGCCGCTGTCGCCGTTGATGCCGGCTAGATTGGCGAGCGCGAGCGGGAGGGAGGAAAATAAGAGCAAAGAAGGGAAGGATGGGTTTGGTTAACAGGACATGAGACGAAGGAAGGATGTGAAAGTTAAAGGCGCGGCGGTTCTTTTGTAGAGATGGGAGACGGGGCAATGATGGGCAAACGGGGGGCATGGGAAGAATCAATAGACGGCATGGCAGCAGGCTTGTTTAGCAAAAGTGTGTATGAATAGTAATGAACGAATGGAATGGTGAACGGGTTAGAGTAATGAATGCCATGGTATGGGTGAATACGAGTCGTCACTTGTTGCTGCCTTGTCCGACTGGTACCAGTGTCTTGATTCTCACACAGTAAGTAGCCCCGTGAATAGCTCATGTAGTCTAGTCTACTCATCCGATTCTCTGGGTATCTATCTTCTTCACTCTCACAGCCCCTCCCCGCCCCTCTCCTCTAAAACGAATGCATCTTATTCGCAAACCCAATCCACTCCTCCACCCCCCTCACATACGCATCTCCCCCCGCATCAGCCAAACTCTCATGTCCCCAAACCACCACCTCCTCAAACTCCGCCTGGATCTCCATCCATCCTCCCACCTCTGGCTCCTGCCTGCTACTCTCCTCGGCCTCTAGGTCCACCACTTCTGGCTCGTTGTCGTTGTCCATCACGAATGACATCTCATGCGGTAACCTCGCTTCCTTCTTCTTCTCCTCCTCCCCTTCCTGTTTAGGGGCTTTCGAAGCCACAACACCCTTATACCCCTCCGGAAGAGGCAGCGTTTTGCCGTGCAACTTGCGGCCGCGGAAGTAAGAGACTTTTAGGCCATCTTTTTTTAGGAGGGTCAGTTTGACGGTTACTGGGAAGATAGGGGGGTAGGGAGGGAGTGGGAATGGGAATGAAGGAAGCTGAAAGACATATGTACCTTCTTCACGAGGATTCCAAAACGAGTCGGTAGGTTCTACGGGTCCGTCGTGGTGGATGCGGCAGGGGAGGAGGTTGGGTGTTGTTTTTGGGATGGGGGTTGAAGTGGTGCTGGAGGAGGTGGAGGAGGTGGAGGTGGAGGGGGTGAAAGCGAGGATTGGTTGTTGGGTCATTGTGTCTTGCTTGTTTCTTCTGTACTCTCTGTAGGAGATTGTTCAAGTGCAAAGAGGAATTAATGGCGTTTTCGTTGAGTAAATGAGGTTGATGGTGATGAGAAAGTCGAGTGTGAGTGAGTGAGACGCGAATGTCAAGTCGAAAACGCGTCGGAGGAGGATCAAATGCAGGGGACGCACGGATCACTTTAATTGCTTGCGTTCAGTGACGGGGAGATTCTTGGGCAGGTCTTTGCGAGTCCATTAAAGCAACTGTACAATCGGTCAGGGCGACTGTGTGGGGCCATACAGAATCGAAGACCGGACGAGCGAAGACCACCAAAAATTCCAAGCTTGGCATTGACTTTCCGCGCCCTCAACCATCACCAGAAGCTATCGTCTTGAGCTACGACAACGAGAGCTCAAAATAACCTTTCTCGAAGCGCTCAATTCACATTCACACGCGGGGGCCTCTCACCGGCCCCCTGCACCCCCGGAACTAATCCTAACACCTAACTCTAACCGCTAACCCTAGCCTAACCTGGGTTGCAGGAGCGAGGTGACTTATACCTCTTGACAGGCTTGGCCCCACACAGTCGCTCTGACCAGTTGTACAATCGCTTTAACGGGCTGGCTTTCCTGACTCAACTCGTGCCCTCGAATGGCCAAGACACCAGGTTCAACCAGCAACACCAGACCATCGATCGCGATGCAGTCTCTCATCAAAGAAGCAAGGGTCAAGTCTAGCGACGTGTTCAAACTCAGCGCCATCAAGATTCACATCGCGGGGTATTCAACATCCAAAACCCGACCGATCCCAAGGTAAGTTTCATTTCAGATGTCGAGTCATACCATCATCAACACAAACTCACATCATCAACACAATACAATTCAATACTGGTTTGTTTGTTAGTTTGGTTCTTCGATTATGGGTTGAACAGGAGAGTTTTGGAGCTCTTATTGGCCCTTGAAGAGAGGAACTGTCATCCGTTTGAAGCGACATGGGACAATGGCAAGGGCTTAGGACGCCACAGAAGCCTCTTATGGGTGTCCTATTATGCCTCTCTCCGTCCCCCTCAAGGCCTTTAAGACTGGAAAAAATCAGTTTTACTGCGTTTACCTCGTAGAAAGCCGAACGCTTTCCTATATTCAGTAAAGCTTTGGCTCTTTTGTACCACACTGACAAACAAACCAGGGCTGGATTGTATAATAAACACCAAACTAACTATGGCTTCCTATCGCACAGCCCCCCTCCCAACGCCTCCCTAAGCAACCCAAGTTCCAGAGCATATATTAGAAATCCCTGGTCCCTTTTAGAATAATAAAAGAAGAACATTGTAGAACATCCGCTCGGTCGTATTCTGAATAGCGTTCGAGACAAATTGCGTGACTCTAACGAAGCCGACGAGACGCATCGAGAATATATTACAGACCTTTTACTGGCGCTTCTCGATTCTCTCATAGAATATAAAATTTCCTTTCTCGACGGAAACGGTACGTAGCAGGACGTAGGATTCAGATTATTTGCCCTATGATGGGATGTTCGAAATAGGAAGATAATAAATCTCGACCTATTTCGCCCTCTCGTCTGCTATATTGTCGACAACTCCGACGATAACGCCGTTTGGGCTGCCGTCTTGAGCCTTTAGGATGCCTTAGCCCGCCGCACCTCCCCTCTTCCTACCACTATTCAACCTACGTTTAAAGGAACGCTTGTCGAAACTAGTTCGAATTGGCTCGCCGATAGTGTAATGCGCAAGAATATAGAAAGGGAATTATTTATGCAAATTAAAGACTATACTTTTCGCAACGTAGGGGGTTTTATAAATAAGTTCTTCAACTCTGAAAATTGGCGCGACGAGTAGAAAGCAATGCTGGAGAAGATTATAATAGAGTATAACAGAGCAGAATAGAAGGGCTTCCCGGCTACTCCTAATGAAAAACCAGTCTGGGATTGGCTTCGCTCCTTAGAAGAGCGCTTCCTATTGGCTGACACGCTATACAAACTCTATACTACTATATCTACCAACCGGTTTAGGAAACGGAAAGGTTAAATGGATATTTTTATATAAATGCTAACTACGGAAGCGACAACTACTACTTTTGAATATAAGCACGTTCTTATTGTCGAAGAGTATAAGAAATTATACGATCTAAGCAGGTTTAAGGGGGATTTCCTATAATTCGTCCGCTATATACGAAGTATTTTTATTAATTAGCTGACTCGTCGGTTCGTTTACGCTTTTTCCTTCTACGCTTTTAAAATGGGAGTTCTAGATCTTCGATCGGGCTAGGGCGTATAGTTTACATTCTGTCGACATTTACGAAAAGCCGGATATATTTACGCGCGCTTTGGTTGGTTATATTATAATAGATAATAATGCGATGGGCTTGGATACTTTTATTGAGCGAAAAGACTAATAACGCTATATTAAATTGAATGATATATATGGTAAGGAAATGAGAATTAGGCTAAATAAGGCTATATATAGGCTAAATGCTATTGTATATTGCGGAACTACTTATTATAAGTGTGAAAATAATACCGTCACTAAATTTGCTTGGGCATTGGGTAAACGGACGTCGGAGGTAGAGTTCCTAACGCTAGTAAAGCAGATGGGTGTTAAAGGGGTAGCTAGAATAGTAGCGCATTATTGAATTACTACCATTATAGAACTACGGAAGGAACTGCAGTTTCTAACGGCTTACCAGTTCTGTAACGACCTTCCATCAACCACAGTAAGCACTAATACATCAGGATCCAAGCGTAAGGCGACGCTCGACGCTACTACCAACACCGTATCCGGATCTACGCCTAGCGAGGACTTGTGGGAATAGAGAGTCTATTCCTACCTCGTCATCTTACCAGCCGGTTACATCATTAGCAAATTTACAGCGATCAAGCAACTGCTAGAATCGATGCAAGATGTGATCAAGGCGCACTAATCTCTCTACGTTACTGGCGACATTCTCTACCGCGATATCTCTCCAAACAATATCATTATTACGGACCCCGAAATCGCAGATAGCTTCAAGGGCATGCTGATCGACCTTGATATGGCGGCCAAGGTTCGAGATAGTGGAGGAGCGCGACAAATAACTGGCACAGTCCCGTTCATGGCGATTGAAGTATTGCGCAAGGTCGACCATATATACCGTTACGACCTCGAATCGTTCTTCTACGTCCTACTTTAGATGTGTGCGCGCCAATCATGGTATAACGGATTTTCCGCCGGCAAGGACGAGAAAGCACCTAAGTTTAGCTTTCTTCAACAATGGGACAATGCTGATTTCGAGATAATTGCTTGGAATAAGGAAACAGATATGTCGTCCGTATATATACTTGAACGGATCATGAGTCAATTCCCAAAGTCCTTGGACCCTGTTAAACCGCTCTGTCTCAGCATCAGGAAGATTCTTTTTCGTCCCGACAAAGAGGGAGGAATAGTCTTGGGAACCCCCGAAGGAAACCCGGACCAACTCTATAGGCCTATTATAGAAGCTTATGATGAGGCCATCGGCAAGCTGTAGGGATTACATAGTGTAGTGGGGGGAAGAAAGGCGATAGAAAGGGTGATTGATTTTGTTATTTTAGTTGTAGAAGGGAAAAAGGAACCAGACAAGAAGGGCACTAAGTGTAAGAAAGGACAGACATGGCAACCCAAACATGTCTGACTCGAGCACCAGGTCGGACTTGCTTACATGACCTGACATTTGGCAGGAACCACTGTAAGCCAGTCCAGGGACGACCTAGCCCAACGATGTGTTTAGGTCAGACTCGGAAGAGTCAGGTAGAGGTAGCCTCCGCTGCTGCTGCTGCTGCTGTTTCAGGAGCCGTGCGTTTAACCCTAACCCTGGATATGGTCCGCGTTTGGGGTCGTCGGTGACGAGAACTGGAGGGAGACACTCAATAATTACATGCTCAAGACCCGTCGCGTTGCTTCTCGCTGCTGGATGAGCGTAATACGAAAGACAGACAGATTGATATGAAGTCATTGTTGTCAAACTACGTGGTCAGAAAACAGCTATGTACAAGGAGGCAAAGGCACAACCAAGTCCACAACCCCAACCAACCCACAATGGATTACCACAGCATTCAGTTTTCTTCCCCACGACACCACCCCTCAGGCAGCCTTCGCAGTGAAAAAAAAGAACGAAGAAGTCAATCAGAGCTTGACCTGAGCTCAAATGAGCCACCAAAAATTATGGCCGGACCCCCGCCGAAGCAGAGATACATGACAGCAAACAACTCTCGCGATGTGCAATGGTCATTGAGTTGCCGCCGCCATACTACGCAGGGATATTGAGCTCCCGCGCAGTCAACCTAACAAATTATGAAGAGGAAAAGAAGAAAAGGAGTGGAAAAGGGAGAGGAGGGAGGGCGGTTATATAGACTTTGAGCTGGGCTGGGGACGCCGGGGACGGGCTGGGGAGGGGCAGTGGAAATGGGTTGGTGACGAGAACTCGAGAAGGAGGAGTTGGGGGAGAGGGAAAGAGAGAGCGGTTGTTGTCTCTTTTGAGGAGACTTTTGGCAAGTGGTCGGGCGTCATGGAGAGATACCGGGAAGTCTCGGTGCGCTGGAACACTCGGGTTGATGAGGTGCAGCCGAGTGGTTGTTTCTCGTTTCCCCGCCAAGCGCGATTTTGACGGCAAGCTCGACATCTCCCTCGACACATTTCCAGTTTGTGCTGAGAAATTGAGCAGGAGCACTCAGGCAAAACGGAAAGGAACTGATGCTTTAGGAAGGACGACTCGGTGGTTACCGTACTCGGAGTGTTTGATCCGGGTTCGTGCCAAATATCATGGCTACTCATGGTGTTAAGCCTCAGCCTCGTGGACTCACGTGAGCAGAGCCTTATCCGTGAGCCTTATTCGTGAGCCTTACTAGGTATTGGTATATAGTAGATAAGGGTGTTCTAAGGGTAGATAAGGTAAGCGGGTATAAAAGGAAGGTAGTCATATTGTAATCTATCTAGTCTAGTTGAATCTTATGGCTTCTCTCCCACTCTCTTTCTATATATTTTGACATCTCTTTCCATACATTTTGATAGGTTATAAGCCCGGCTCCCGCTAAGCGGCAGCAGAGTACCGATACTATGGTCTAAAAGCCACCAAACCGCTTTTAGCCTAGCGTATTAGCGCGATATTATATCCGATTAAACGGAACTTAATTTTAGCCCTGTATTCTAACCGGTTGGAATAAATAATAATAATATAACTATTTATCTCGTCCTCCCTTGCACTTAAAATAGTAAGT